ACAATGAAACATCACATACCATGATGCGAGCAAACATTATTCTATTTCAAACGTTCTATTTAATGCAATCTATAATACACATAAAGAAAATGAGCTGTGATCACTTTGCTTTCTACATGAAAATCTATTTGCACAATTATCGATAAAAGCTACAGTTATTAAAACAATATTTTTAAGCTCTGAAGCCAAAGACTGGAATTTGTTGCATCTCCATGTTTTATAATTTGTTGGTTGTACTCTGGCTATTTTGAATATTTTTATTTTTATAGAAATGCCATTCGTTTGACGATATTGGTCTATCTTGTAAATTTTTACTTAAGGCAACCAAATTAAACGGATAACTTCCACTTTTTCTTTCTTTGATAGGTTCTGTTTTATTTTGTTCGCCATCTTTTTTTATAACTATGCATAGATCGACTCACATTTTTCTAGAAGCCGTCGTTTACAAATGATTTTTGTGGCTGTGATTTTTGATTTACTGCAACTTTTGTATTCGTTGAAAATGCATTCAGCAAAAATTGCTAAATTTTTCTATATCTGCACGAACAAACCAATCATCATTTTTGTTCAACCAATCATATTGCCGATATTCTGCTTAAAGAAGTAGTGAATAGTTATCATACAATTTTCATATAACCCATGCAGACATCACAGCAGCAATGTATGATGGTACTGAGCCGAATGCATACTGTTTGAATATGAAATACGATGACGTTTCGACGATATAGACTACAATGGACGTCCCACATCAAAGCATGATGTTTTAAAGACTCAATAAGAAGTTGTGTAATAAAGTAAGAACCAGATAACAAATACGGCTAACCTGACGTTTACTCCTCATTTGACTCTGAAGATGACTACCGCTAAGGTTGTCGAAACGTCAGTTAACAACAACAAAAACAGTCCTTCTCAGGACTATACCAACCTGGACGATCGACATTTACAAACATGTTAAGAAGTTGTGTAAGACTGTAAGTTAAGATTATATGCGTTTACACTTTACTTAGCGAGCTCATTTTTATTGTGTAAATCTTAATAATTAGTATGCCAAAAATACTGTGAAGTGTAAAAATACGACATATTAGGATTTCTAAAGTCGTGTTTCTTATAATTGATAGTATAGGTCTTTACAATATTAGAAAATATACAACGAAATATTTAATATTTACAATGTCATTTTGAAATTAGGAAAGCATTGTAAATCTGATACTGTATCCGTGACGCTAGTCCAATCACGAAATTGTGTTGCATTTTGATCTTTGTGCTTCTCAAAATTTTAAATATTAGCTTATGAAATATTTCACAGGTAGTTTTATATTTCAAATTATTGCGACTTTGTCCTCAGCTATTCGATAAACTAATTTATAATCATCACAGATTTCAAAAAGTGCGAGATAACAATGATGTATTCAGAATGCAATTAATATGATGATAAGATGGGCCAGTTGTTATTGATTTGCATTCACGCATGAAGGGGAAAGTCCCTGATCTCTATAAAAAGGGGGTTTCCCAAAAACCCACAGCTTAATTACATGGTACAAAGATTGCCAAATATACTTTATGTTTATTTGTCCGTCTTTGTATCACGTCGTTTGAGCTGCTACTTTCATCTTTGATGAATGCTGTGCTGATTCATGTTTGAAGAACGCACGGTAAAAATCGAAAAATCTTTTTATTAATGTCTGTGATATAAAATCAATATTAGAAATAACAGAAACAGTTCTTAAAGTATTTTCTGCTTGCAGACCATTTTATTGTGGGGTTAGGGAAAACAACAGTTCTTATATTTAGGTCATCACGATTTTTTACTGCAGAACTTTTAGTCCGAACACTCTCTCGCCTCGAGGAAACATAACAACCCATAGCATCGTGCACAAGGCTTAATCCGATATTTTCGTTTCCATATTATATCATGTTGCCAAATGCAAAGCTTCTTTAATGCTGAAATTTGTATTGGCCCAGGATGTTCAGAATTCGTTAGTGAAAAGCACTTTCAAAAAGATTATATCCAACCATTTTACCAACAAAGGATGCATGAAAGGAGTTTACAATATTGTATATTTTTAGAATATCCTTGTAATGGAAAAATGTCCCGACTCGGCACTTCATCGTCAGTGCGACTTATGTAGTCTTCAGTTCTTCTGAAATCCATTGTTATAACATGAATATATGAATATGCCCCTCGCCAATTATCAATTTTCCTGCCCTCACGTTTTCATCAAAAAAGTTTCGGATAAGAAATTTGCCACATGATAATTTGTGTTTGTCTTTTGACAAGATGTTCCTGTAGTACATCGTGCCGTGTATATAAACCAGTTTTAACACATACCTTGACAAAAACCATTTCTTCAGTTGGAAGAAAACAACAGCACGTACATACATATGTTTTCCCTAGTTTTTATTTAAATTAAGGTTTTTCTATTCAAAATAGTTTAGAAATGACAGATTGGTCATGGGAGAGTAATTTACTGTCGATACACCTGACACAGCTAGGAAAGAGTCAACCCAAGAAAGATATAATAAAAGTTGATATTGATAAAGGAATTTGATATTGAATTCATAAACTGACAAAATGACTTATGCAGAGTACAGTTTTAATGTGATATTATTTTTCGAATCGAAACTAAGTGACATTTTTATCTTCAATATAAATAATTTGGCCCCAGACAAACAAGAGTCTTAAATAACGAAATAAATTTTGCTGTTGGAGTATTTTACATTCTAACATTGATGTATTGGGATTTGTAAACGTGAAACTGGTAGATTTTAATGCAAAATTGATAAGAATCATTTGAAATAAATAAGTTCCGACACAAGAATGTGTAAGATGTTGGGCTTTCCCTCTTAAAGCAATGAAATATTAATTAACATAAGGGGGTTCCCTACTTTGCAGGTGAGCCGAGGGGGTTCCCCATTTTATTTCTTTATAAAGTGCATGTATAAATGTTCAAAACATTCATTTGGTAATTTTGGAGTGAAAATACAAGATGACTGAAAATAATGAATAAATTTCATCCAAGGTATGCGTACATTACTATATTTTAATTTTGTATTAACTAAATCAAGTTGGGATCTAACGCAGTTACGTATACATGATATCTATTGTGAGACTAAGTTTTCTTGTAGTTCAATTTTTGTCAAAAATTTTCTGATTTTTTTTTCAAAACGATGTATAATATTTAGGTTGGGAACATAATATCTATTTTTGTTTCTCAGTTCACTCCATCTAAGCATTTAAACATTTTTGCAAGTCTTTGAACAACAAGAGATGTAACACGAGAATCTTGATTTTACTTCTTTAATGTTGCGCGTTTCACGGTATTCACGACGAATAAAGTCGTTTAATCAAATCATATTACGGTTTAAAATACAACAAGCGCATAGCTATCTTAAAGATAGAGAAAAAAAATTGAAAAACTGTAACGTACATGGGCAAACTAGTCAAAAACCTTATCACTACTGCTTGCCACGAATTATATATTAATTTTGTATTGTAATATTCGGGCATAGTTTAAAGAAAAACTCGATATAAATCACACTGTTTGAATTTTCAAATTGATGATAACTTAAAAGTAAAGAAGTTGGTAAATTTTCCATTTCATTAGACATTCTGTCGCACAAATGGTAAAAGACATGGAAATATACAACAACAACGGTGACGTATCAACACTGAAGGACAATGACGAGTCGGGGAAAATGTTGCGGAGTTTAATTCATAAGAAATGTGTGCAGAACTTGTTGCCCACGGTGAGTAGCAAAGAAAAGACAGAAGTGCTAATCGAAGTGCTAAATGTTTGGGTTCAACTTTATCCTTACGTGTTTGTATTGTCATGTAAAATTATATATTGCTTCCGCTCTTTCCGTTGATGAAATTTCCAACAATCAAATAGTCAAATTTGTACGTGCTAAAATTTCATCGTTTTAATGATATCGATATGATGTTAGATTGTTTTTTTCCAGGAAAAGACATTTGTCAAATTTCAAGAGGAAAATATTATACATTTATGTGGTATGTCGATTGGAAGAGGATTGAATTGGAGTGAAAATTTGCTGATTTGCTATGATCGGACGTATAAACCAATTGAGAATACCTTGTACTTTGAATATCATTTGTCATATTCAATGACAAAACATTGTTCAATATTCTCAACCTACGTGAAAACTTGGGATTACGGAAGGTTAATACGAACTGACGATAAATTGCTCTTTGACTTAAGAAATTCAATGTCAGAAATTGGAGTATTGTTTTCACAATATACAGAGAGCGGCACGTCAACAATAAGTTACAATTATAGTACTTTTGTAAGTTGTCAGACTGATGATAGCAAAAACGAAAAAGAAAGAGAGGGTGAGTATGAAAACATGCTTAACGATAATGTTTGCTCAACGGAAGAACTGAAAATGAAAAATAAGGAAATAAATGATTTAAAAAGCAAGTTGCAAGCTATGGTAGATTATAATAAGCAGTTAAAAATCGAGTTGGAAAAAGCAAATAGTCTACTGAATGAGCAAATATCAAATTTTGATCAGAAAAACAAGGAATGTCATACACTTCTCTATGATAACGGTTCTTTAAAAGAAAAATTGAAAGCGAATGACAACGAAATAAATGAATTAAAAACAAAACTGAAAATTACGAATACCAAAGTTGACAAATTGAATTGTGAACTGAAAACGAAAACGGATGAAATTCAAAACCAAAATTTACAGCTAACTAAAAAATAAGTTTTCTTGAACAGGAGCTGGAAATCGTATCTCTCGATCACGGAAGACTTTCATTTGAAAAAGACTTGAATTCCAGTGAAAAGAAAAGAGCAAATAGTTTCCAGGAAATATACAAACGTAACAATCAAGTTGAAAATGATGCCACTAATCAACTTTCAACTCCATGTGATCAGATTAATCCGGAAGCATCTAGTCAAAATGAAAATTTATCAATAAATTCTGGGCAAAACAACTTAATAACGGATTCTACTCCATATTCTGTACAAGTACATGATGATAGTGATGTACAGTTCTCTCAAGTAGATTCACATCATAAACGGTCGATATCAGGCATTGCTGTGAATATGTACGAGCTCCTACGAATGGTATTATCTTATTCATTGTTACAAGAAGATTTCAAAAAACTTAAGGAATGGGCAAATGAAAATTTCTCCATACAAGGCAACCTCTGTGCAGCGGAAGTTTTCAAGAGACTGGATGAAAGAAAAATAATTAGCCACACAGATCTTACAAAACTCAGAAACTTTTTTTCAACGATTAATCGTTATGATTTAGTCAGCATTTTGGATGACTTTAATATGGGAAATTATAAGCACCTAAAAGAGATGGTTTCCAAGATAAAACATAAATTCGTTGAGTCAAGAGAGAGAAGAAATAGATACAGATCTACCGCAACTGTACAAAGTATCAACAATGAAGATTCTTATAACTTATCGTCGCTTACATCAAGAGATAATAATTTATTACAAAGCAAACCAGCACAAATTGTATGTTCCAACAATCAACAATCTTCATCAAGGACCTATAAAATTTCAACTCGCGATTTACATGGACAACCGTGCAATAGTAAAATGCTTCCTGTAGCTCATGCAACAACAAATGAAAGAAATAATAGTATCAGTACAAATTTTGCAGCTACAAGCCAACCTCAAGAATCAGTATTTCGTTTTGGAAACCCTGTTATTGTACCAACTCAACATTTGCATGACGTGCCATTAAGTACATCAACGCAAAGGCTTTCTACAATCAATGGCTTAAGGCGACCTGAATCTAACGGTCAATCTGAGGTATCAATCAATGCAGAACCTTACATGAAACCAGAACCACAATGCAACAGTCATGATCATGCTCATTGTTGTCCTCCTCGAACTTTCAAAAGTGAAAATTGGTTGTGTACCCATTATAAAAGAAGATGTTACGTTCAGTTTGAATGTTGTGACAAATATTGGCCATGTCATCGTTGTCATAACAACCAAAGTACCTGTGGGGAAAAGAAGCTCAAATCACGTGACGCAAAGATGGTCAAGTGTGCCGAATGTGGAAAAGAACAAAAGGTAAGGCTTCACTTTAATGTAAAATATAACATTAAAACATACATTGAATTTTATATATTATATTTTAGTTTGGTGAAAATGGACAGTTTTGTGTTTCATGTCAAGCTAAGTTTGCCGACTATTATTGTGGGATATGTAAACATTTGACAGGATTGGATGACAAACCCTATCATTGCGACAAATGTGGAATTTGCAGGTAATAATTTTTTTATACACATAGTGCTGCTTTATAAAAAATCTGTTGAAATAAATTTCAAAAATATTTTTTAAGTCATGCATGATCATAGTGCTTTACGATCTAATTTTTCAAAAATATTTTTAGAGTTCATGGTGATCGATCGTACCATTGTGATGTTTGTGGAATTTGTCTTGATGTTCAACTTCGTGGCAATCATAAATGTCGCCCAAATTCCGCTCATGATGCTTGCTGTATTTGTTTGGAGGTAAAAAACATTATTTATGTATGATGTTTGAGTGAAAGCATATTGAATCCTTGTATAAATAATATTTTCACCATTTGTCAAATTACGCTCCAATTGTTACTGTGTCATCATGTATATCATGAACAGATATCAATATAGTCGATCTTTCGGAGAGCAAGATAGTTCATATATACTTAATTATTCATGGCAGCCTAAGTTCATATATACTTAATTATCCATGGCAGCCTAAGTTCATATATACTTAATTATTCATGGCAGCCTAAGTTCATATATACTTAATTATCCATGGCAGCCTAAGTTCATACTTAATTATTCATGGCAGCCTAAGTTCATATATACTTAATTTTCCATGGCAGCCTAAGTTCATATATACTTAATTATTCATGGCAGCCTAAGTTCATATATACTTAATTATCCATGGCAGCCTAAGAAACCTAAAATCAGTTTAGTTCCCTTATCAGCCCTGGTATGAAGAAAAAGCAACTGCTTTTGGATTTTGCTAAACTCGACGATTAAGATCTAAAAACTTATCACAATGCTCACTACCTCACATATAAAATAACGTGATATTAAAATAATTTTTTCATTTTAAGGATGCATTCACTGGATGTCAGATATTGCCGTGTTCTCATAAAGTTCATAAAGAATGCGCCAATCAGATGATTCAAAATGGAATGTAAGTTTTTGCCATGTTCTTGATTTACTCTTCTTATTTTGTCATCATACATGCAGTTGAAATAACTGAAAGTAAAGAGTCAGAAAGTGGGTAATGATAATGGCGTTCATCTAATATTAAAAATATTTCATTTTTTTCTACATAGAACTCGTTGTCCGATTTGCCGCGAGAGTTTTGCTCATAAACTTGAACGTAAAAAGGAAAAAATGTCGTTCAAGAAGGCGTTAACAAAGAAGGCAAAATTGTTTTCATGAAGATGTTACCTCCGCAAGATTACCTTAAATTGACCTTTCATCAAATCAATAATACAGACGTGGGCTAAATCTGCAAATGGTTTCTAAAAACTGTGCCTACTCGGTGTTTGTGATAAATGAAAAAGGCGTTGGTGAAAAAGTCAATTTGTACAAGAGTATAGCGTGGTATTCACAGTATGAAACAAGAAGAAACGACACTTTTTGTCGATTGCATAGTGGATTAAGGATAGTCATGAAGATGCTAAATCTAAATCCAAATTGTAATCCAAATATAAGGGACCAAAGTTTATCATGCATGTGAGTGTTTTTTTAACCTATACATCTTGCATATTTCCATGTATAAAAACAATAAAAGAAATAGTTATTTAAAGAAATTATTTATTAAATTCTGTAAAATGACATTGAAATATAAAAATTTATAGTTCCTTTAGTTCACTGTAAAATAGTCGTTATTTAAGAAAATAAGATCATCATAAAAGTATTCGTTAATGTGGTTCTTCCGGCTGTTGTCAATTGGAGAATTTTTGTCTTGTACCACAGCTTCTGTTTTGTTGTTCTAATGAAAGCTGCATAAATTAGGTTCTTCCGGCTGTTGTCAATTGGAGAATTTTTGTCCTGTACTACAGCTTCTGTTTTGTTGTGCTTATGAAAGGTGCATAAATTAGGCTCTTCCGGCTGTTGTCAATTGGAGAATTTTTGTCCTGTACTACAGCTACTGTTTTGTTGTGCTTATGAAAGGTGCATAAATTAGGTTCTTCCGGCTGTTGTCAATTGGAGAATTTTTGTCCTGTACTACAGCTACTGTTTTGTTGTGCTTATGAAAGGTGCATAAATAAGGTTCTTCCGGCTGTTGTGAATTGGAGAATTTTTGTCCTGTACTACAGCTACTGTTTTGTTGTGCTTATGAAAGGTGCATAAATTATGTTCTTCCGGCTGTTGTCAATTGGAGAATTTTTGTCTTGTACCACAGCTACTGTTTTGTTGTGCTTATGAAAGCTGCATAAATTAATAATAGTTGTTATGCACAACTTGTTTAAAAGCTTACTTGCTTTTTTTCTTTCTTCACGTAGCAACGCACTATAAAACAAAAACTAATAAGTAAACTTTATTAATCATTTTAAACTATTTTTACTTCTGAAATTTTTGCTCATTGTCAGCGGTATATTCAATCAGCTAATCTTCTGTTTTTTAACTGACGTCATTACACAAAATTTGTTCAACTCAGGCTGTGATCGTCAGCAATGTTTAAATGAGTTAATTCGTTATTTATAAAATTGATGACATGCAGATTTCCATAATTCAATGCGTAGGCTAATATTTCAATGTCATATTTTAAGTACCATGTATGTATGGGAGAGTACATGAAAATAAATTAATCTATGCTATAAGTCTATAGCCTTACTCATAACCTACTTTTCAAACTCATTTAATTTTGGCAATAACTTTATTGTCCCACATGTGCGTTATAAGTAATGGTTCTGTACAAATGATTTTAGTCATTTTACAAACTCTCTCAACATATTCATTGTCTTTCCATCTTGACATTTCGCATCCATGTCTGTTTTTATTCCTACTGTCTAAATATTTGGTGTTCAATTAAGGTCAAGACGACAATAGACGACAAGTTGAGGTCCTTCGAAAGGATTTCTTTTTCTTTTTGGGTGATGAAACAATTTGAGAAATTGAAAACCACGTCGTCAGGGTTGATAAGGCTTATGTTAACAGGGAAACCTTTCTTATGTCCACCACAATGTGCAATTCTTTCCCATATAAGAAATACATCTCACTCTGCCAATTTTGATGACTTCTCAACTCTCTCTTCCTTCTCTGACAATTATGACCTTATGATTCATGAAAGCTTTCTTATATCCGAACTTAAACCCCCTCTTAACACCCAAGGCAACTCAATCCCCTTCACTTTCTTTAACATACCACCTTTCTCATTTCATTCCTTCATCTAAACTTCCTACTCCCCTCACATGTAATTTAACACCCTGTAATATAGGCTTGTATATAAAACCTCATGTATATAATTTATCTCAAATAATCTGAAAAATTACAAAAATCACAAAGATTTGGCGAAGTAGAATATTAGCATTTTGTATTTACGATATAACAACATAAATACAAAATGCTACTATGATTTTTAAAGAATAACATCCTTCGCAAGCCAGGAATTGGATGCTAAAAAGCTTTCACCGGCAGACGGTAATTCGTTTTTTGGGGCTGTTCCACGTAATTTTCAGAATCGTAACAAATGAGTACATGTCTAATCTAGTAAGCAGTGATTATTTGATGTAGCTAAATGGCCGAGATACAAAAATGCCAATATTTTTATAACGTAAACTTTACATAGCACATTTCATCGAGAAAGATCAGAGACAGATCTAACATGAGTTTCTGTAAACAACTTAGGATTCGTCCAATCTTTCCCATACCTTTCTTTGTTATGAAGGCAAATCAGTTTGCTAATGTATAAAACATATTATTTGGATTTTGATTTATAGACGCACAACAATGGAAGGCTGTTGCAGATACATCATTAAATACAAAATTTTGGTTGCTTTTGTCTTAGTAAACTTGCTCATCATGGTGATGTATCGTGCTTATTTCAAAGAATCAGGTATCCATTACCATCATGCATAGCTCTATTTAAATAATCAGAATTTTCATTTAAAAACCTGTTTTTATATTACGTAGAAAAAATGAAGCTTGTGCCTAGATCAGACAACATGAAGAAAATCATGGATTTACAAATGACAACTAGCCGAAAATGTTTAAAAGAGAAAAGGCATTATTTTGACGACATTTTGGTTGTGCTGATTTACCATTTTCCATTCTACGATACAATACCTTTATTACAGTCGTATTATAAAGATGTGTTTAAAAACATCGTTTATTGTGGGTCTGTGTTGAGTGACAAGCACGAAGTTATGGTTGTTGATATTCACATTGGAATGTATGGTTATGAATGTGTTGGTGTTGCCATACGAAGGTAAACACAGATTTTGAAAGTTTATTATAAAATAGCCTTTTAAAATTGCTGGGTGCTGATTGGTCGCATGTCCAAAAAACCGTGTATCTATAACTGCATTGAAACACGCAATTTCTCGTTTCTCTTAAACTTTCCTGTTTCTATAACTCTATAACTCTATAGAAACATGGAGAAAGGACGTGATGCTCTTATGGCAGAAAAAGATTAAATGGTTTTAAAGCCCCTCCAGTGGTCAAAGGCTGAGTGTTGATTTTATGGTCACTCTCATGAGCTGTAGAAATAGTGATAAGTTCGTTCATTTTCTATCATAAAACTTTATCAAAATTTATCAGTTCCGAAGCTAACCGTGATGTTTGGAGAGGAAAGATTTAAATATTCATTTTATTATCCGGTACGTCAGTTTAGCTACTTCAAAGATTATCGAAATAAGCCATTAAGCAAAATAAGCCATTTAAATTTTATTTTTTCAATTTTTGAGAAACTGCCATCTACGTTAAAGTCATTAGTATTACGTTTTTTTTATGTATTCATTTAAATTTTGACTAAAAAGTTGAAAAAATGAAAATCCGAAAACTTGGCAGACGTGCAGTCATAATTACTCAATAGGAAAAAGTTTTCTTCCCAATAAGATATAATTAAAAGACCAATCTATATTCGTTACATGTCATCACAAAAATTGAAATATTCGTAAAATATTGGTCTTTCCAACTCGAGTGAGAAATCAACGTATGCATGAAAAGAAGCTAAAAATCAAGTCTCAACAACGTGTTTTCCGGTTTAAAATTCTAAAAATACTTCATCTATTTTTGACTACGGTGGCCGGTACGGGTCACCAGAAAAATAATTTAGAAAACATAACAAACAATAAGAAAACATCACTCAAAATCATACTACACATTTCAAAATACTCACTACACATTTCAAAATACTCGCTACACATTTCAAAATACTCACCACACATTTCAAAATACTCGCTACACATTTCAAAATACTCACTACACATTACAAAATACTCGCCACACATTCGTCCCAGTCTTATCCTGGTCTGGCCTGCCCACGGTCATCATTAGTTTCCATCTACGAAACTGATATGACATCATAAAGTAAGCATATTAAATATATAATTCCGCATTTCACAAGGCAAACAAAATGGGACATTGGGATAATAGCATGAAAATATTGGCTCAACTCTAATCAGAAATTCTTCCAGGGTTTTGCTGGACTTGGTCGGGCAACAACATTAGTAGACGATCTACATATCGCCAGCAAATGTATTTGCAGTGGCTTTCGACACATGTCCGTACTTTAATAGCAAAAATTTGAGTATATGAATTTGCATTCGCTATGTCGCGTACGTACTTGTGATGCGTTACAAAAATAACAAGGAAACCAAAGAGGAAATTTACACATAGTGCTATAATTTGTTGCACAAGAAACGCCAAAGAAAATGAAAAGTTCGGTAATTTCGAGTAAAAGCAATAAATTTAGAACTTCAATACCAGTCACGTCAATAAGTGCATTAGTTAAACTAATGATTGTCGAATATCACCAATAAAAATACAATTACATGTAATCTGTAGATTGACCACTCATGTTGTGTTGTCTAAACAAGACCAAGAAATCCCTGGAAGAAATATTACTAATAGTTCATGTACGCGTATCGCATATTTTGATGCTATTGTGGCGATATGTTTGTCTATGTGCCGAATTCCACATAGACAACATATCGCCACAATAGCATCAAAATATCCTTACGCGAACTGAACTGTATTATTATATCGGAGGCGTATATTTATATTAGCTTCCTGCCATCACGTCAGTTTCGTAGATGTAAACTAATGACGACCGTGGGCAGGCCAGACCAGGGTAAGACTGGGACGAATGTGTAGTGAGTATTTTGAAATGTGTAGTGAGTATTTTGTAATGTGTAGTGAGTATTTTGAAATGTGTAGCGAGTATTTTGTAATGTGTAGTGAGTATTTTGAAATGTGTAGTGAGTATTTTGTAATGTGTAGTGAGTATTTTGAAATGTGTAGTGAGTATTTTGAAGTGTGTAGTGAGTATTTTGAAATGTGTAGTATGATTTTGAGTGATGTTTTTTTATTGTTTGTTATGTTTTCTAAATTATTTTCTGGTGACCCGTACCGGCCACCGTATTTGACAATCCACCTCCGACATAAATGTCTCGATAACGTTTTTTTTTATTCAAGTCACGTTAAATTTTGCATTTCGCACTCCAAAATGAAAATTGGCATTTATCCCCACCGGGAAACATGATAAATTAATATATTTTCTACACAATGCTGGTTTTATTTAAGAAATAAAAGATGTTTACTGTGTTTGCACGGGCTTATGCAAACCAAGGAGACCTTTTGGAGAACTCGAGAGCAGATCAATGCAAGTCCGAGACCGAAGGTCCAGAGTTGCACATGCTCGAGAGTTCTCACAAACGTCTCCGACGTTTGCATAAGCTAGTGCAAACACGAAAAACATCTTTTATTTCTTTTATAAAATAACAATAATGCAAAACAGACAAATTTAAAGTAAACCATTTCATTTTTCTTCTAAAATGTATTAATGATCGATTTGCAAATTCTCTTTGAATGGTTGATTGTTATGATTGTTTTAATTGTTGAGCTCGAATGTGTTTTGCACAGGCTAATGCAAACACAGCTCTAGACCAATCAGCGCACGCGTTTCATTTTGTTTATTTTATAAACTATAATATAACAATAACCACAAAATGAAATGGGTAAAAAAATATTTTTATCCAGATATCCAAACTTCAAGGGTTATTTATACATGAATGAGGATACTCTTTTGAATTGGTGGACATTTTTAAATCTCGATAAAGATAAAATATGGCTGAGTTCGAACATCAGTACAACAGGACAAGCTTTTCTAATGGGTAGACGACCAGTTCCTTTGGGTCCATGGTTAGGATGGAAAGATTCCGCAATTCCCTGTGAACAATCATACAAAGAAATTTTACAGATGTACAAAAATAGTCGTTATATAAACACCACCAGACTAAGACGAACACATCTCAGCAACGGAAATGGTAAACTTTATTGCTTCAACAGTTGGGCAGATTTGTTTTACATTCCCAAAAGGTTAAGTGACGAGTATCAGAGAATATCATCTGTTTTCTTCAAAAATCGTGTGTTCTTAGAAATAGCCGTGGCGACCATATCCAGTTTTTTGGATTTAAAAAGCACGTGGGAAATGCATTATGGTTTATATCTTCCTGACAAATACGGTTCCCAAAACTTTGCTGACGGAAAGATAGTCTGGGAAGCTTATAATTTTGACATAAATTTCATGCATCCCGTGAAACTTCACGGCGAAATTGCCAAAACCAGTAGACAAAATTTCAGAAATATTATTATTCCATTTTCGAAACATTTGATCAAATGCTAGAAATGTATTAGAATTATCAGCAAATGTGTAAATTATATATGTCTTCTTCGAGTTCTTAAAATCCCTCTTTTACTCGTGGCGTCGTCTCGGAAAACATTGACACTCTTGGAAAACAAAATTCACTCTTTTTCTCCGATACATTAAGAGTGTCAATGTTTAAACAATGTCGGTTTTGATTGGTCAACTACCTGCAAAAATTATGACGTCATATTTACAAATACTTCTCGATATCTGTATGTATGACGTCAAATCAACAATTATAGACGCCACTAAATGCCGGTTTTGAAAAAACCAAATGGTAGCGACTTTTGACACTGTTTCTAAAAACGATATACGAAAGCTTTTGAATAAAAAGGACGCGGAAAACACTAAAAAAGAGACGAAGTTGCTTTTGAACATATTTACAGCATATTTAAGCGACATCATCAACTTAAAATAACCGTTTGACAAGGACAAATTAGCGAAGGTTTTAAAACTGTTTTAAATTGATGTGTTTTTAAGAATTTTAGGCTAAAGCTAGTTGAGGTAAATGATAAAACAATTACTGAATTCGGCTTTCGCATGATATCAAGAATTATTCAGACCTCGATCAATATTATCGGCCTCAGCTTCAGCTTCGGCAGATAACATTGACCTCGGTCTGAATAATTCTTGATATCACGCTCAACCTCATTCAATAATTGTTTAGTATACACTAACACCTTGTTTATTGAATGAGCTTCACCTGTTCTTGCAGTATGGACACAGCTATTTGGTAAAAAGTAGCAGATAGCAAAAATAACTTTTACAAATATTCGCTACACCAAGACTACTGAGGTATTGTCTCACTTTCTTATATCAAGCTTTCTGCAAATGTAATTTGAAAACATTATGATAGGTTTTTTGAGTTTGCTGAAGCTGTTTGTTACAAGTACTTAACTGCTAATCTTGACAATATGTTTGCTTCTTTATGTACTATGGCATTTCATCATTTTATCGGCTTGTTACTCAACATAATGAATTCTTTGTTCATGCCAATCATCTGTTGAATTTTGGGTTTGTTCAGAGTTACATTACAAAGTGTTGAAATATTCTTTGATTCTCTTTCTAAAGTAGCTCCTTGGTATTTAGAAGATTTTGTTGTTCTTGTTAGTTGGAAATAAAACTTGCAGTTGATCTAACTAGCTTGGACATTATTTTGCCTATCAAGTGTCGTCATCTCAAAAGATGGTATTTACAAAAGATAAAGCGAGAGAATTTTTTGGAAATGCACTTTGAATTTCCTGTCAATTTTTTGTATTCCATTATGACAAACTTGCATTTGGGTGAAAATTGCTCAAATTCAGGGTGGAAAACTATCATATTTTTGTACATGTTGTAAAGAAAAGTTCAAGCATTATCACCAATCACAAGTCCAACGCAACTCCTATAACGATACTTCCGGGCTCAAACCATATACTTTTTAAGATTAATAATGTAAAGTTGCTGAATCTTTTTCAAAATGACTGTTGACGAGATTAAGTTGAAGAATTAAGTGCAGGAGAGTAATACATGACTGGACATGAATAATAATTTGTTGCATCTGCCACATTTGATGATGATCTGAATGTCTCTGTTGAAAATGAAATTTCTCTTCAAGTTTCATGTTTTTGAATTAGAGGTGTAGGTACGCGCGGCGCGTCTATTTCTCTATGATAGTTTTACCATACTTCATGTTTTATAAATATTGTTGATCTTATGTTGCACAATGTTGACGAAATAAAATTATATCTCTATGATTATTTACTTTACAACGTGGGATTTTCGAAATCTGGTTTCAATCTGAACGTATAATACGACAGGAAAAGAGGTAAGGTAAATACTTCAACTTTATAGTTTAGATAATGCGGTATATGTAGAAGTTTGAAGAAGTATAGTATAAAACAAATTCCGAAGAAGCAAGACATCTTGAGATTGCAAAATATGAATCAAAACAAGACGAGTATTTTGCAATCTCAAGATGTCTTGCTTCTTCGGAATTTGTTTTATACTATACTTCTTTAAATTGTCGGCTTTTCATGGTTTTTAAGTTTGAAGAAGGTCTTTAGTTTCGGATTTAATACGCACGATGCGTAAATCATACACAACAATAACTCTTTGTCAAAGCGAAAACGTTATTCGATCGGTAGTTTTTTATTTTAAAAATTGGCGATCTTTTAATACCATGCAAGTATTTTCCATGCATTTTTTGTTCAAAAGCTTTATAGCTCTCAGCTTCAGTTATTTTTTTATTTAGTTTGTGCGTTTCGCTTTACTTTATACTTTATCACAATCGAAACAGTACCGAATTTAAGTTGTTCACGTTTTGTTGGCATCGGTTGAGCGCTTTAGACAAAAATACAAAGAACCCCTGACGTCCCTATCTCTTGTGATAAATTTTCCTGCCAGCAAAACGGAAAATTAATACTTTTTACTCAAGATATTACAAAGATATGTCCAAGTACAAGATTGTCAAAACAAGCGTTCGCAAGTAGACTTATTGAACTGCAATAGCACGAAGGTAAATGGTCTTTTTTAGTTGGCCATATGCCTCCAGGATAATTAAGGAATATTCATGAATTTTATGCTCACTCATGAATGTACAAGACCATCATAGATATAGCGCTTAGTGTTTATATGTTTTAGCACCAATAAATCCACTTCGCCTTGAATCTTTATGATAGCTCCATGATTATTTGTTGCTGTGTCACTTAGTATGTATAAAAGATGCATGTTTTGTATAACAAGAGCAATTTCAATAAATTTGTCATGTAGATAACTCATTCGACTGAATTTAGCCAACTTTAGTTATAATGGCTTTTTATGATGCTTATTCATGAGCAATTTCCAGCTGGCCGTAAATTGTTTGATCTTGTGAGCAAACAGAAAAGCATTTGAACGTAAATGAAAATAGCTGCAAATTAATTAATTCCTTGGAGTCTCGTTCATCAAGTATTAGAATAATTTGACAGGAAATTGTTTTAGTGCGAACAACAGCTGTCAGGAATTAAAATATTTTATACATGCATGCATAAACGTAGAAATGGTGAATGGGGATGGTTTGAAAAGGCTCAAACCATTGATAAGCTTTCGTTGATGTTTTAAGTTGATATTGTTAAATTATTTGTCCGATATGGTCAATGGCGTAGCCAGCCTGCTAGTTTGGAGACTGCTATGTATATTTTTCTATGTTCACTCACTGTAGAAACAATACATTTATACAGAAATGAATAAAGATAACAATCTAAAATTTACATAGCTTGACCCAATTTGCGGTCTGGATATTGTCCAATGTAGAAGATTGTTATTGACAAAAAACGTTGTTCAATGGCCAATAATGCATGTTTGTTTATCTGGTTTGTAAACCTAATCAAGATATTTTCTAAACATGTTGTTGAATAAATTTTAAGGTGATGTTTTGTCAAACGCTACTTTATTCAAGGAAAAAATGGTCTTACACTTGAGGAAACAAACTTCAGATTTTTCAACATTAATAAGAAAAAGTAATTTTGCAAACTTCAACAAACTTCTCTTGCAACATCGTCATAAATTTTTTGTTTAGTTCGAACAACAATCACATGCAACAACTTTATCTTTCTTTCTTGTAAATCGGTTTGGGGCTACTGTTATCAATTGTGCAAAAAATTATCAATTATGATGAAACAATCGACATTTACAGTTTCTAAAGAAAAACATATATCATCTGAACTTCCATTTACTTCAACACAAAACACATGAACATCCCTAGTTTAGAGCATGGAGCACCTGAACTCCTTCTGTCTGGGGTCTAGGAAATCATTTCACTTTCAGTGTAATCATTTCACTTTCAATGTAATCATTTCCCTTTCAATATATATTCTCTCCAACTACCATTCTAGTGCTAGCTTTGCCCGTTGTCCAGAACTTAACACACACCCTTTTCAGAAACCAAAACACCTTAATTCCCCTATCCAGAACATGAAACACATGAACTCCCCTAGTGCAGTGTCTAGAACATGAAACGCATGAACTCCCCTAGTCCAGTGTCTAGAACATGAAACACATGAACTCCCCTAGTGCAGTGTCTAGAACATGAAACACAGGAACTCCCCTAGTCCAGTGTCTAGAATATGAAAAACATGAACTCCCCTAGTGCAGTGTCTAGAACATGAAACACATGAACTCCCCTAGTGCAGTGTCTAGAACATGAAACACATGAACTCCCCTAGTGCAGTGTCTAGAACATGAAACACATGAACTCCCCTAGTGCAGTGTCTAGAACATGAAACACATGAACTCCCCTAGTGCAGTGTCTAGAACATGAAACACATGAACTCCCCTAGTGCAGTGTCTAGAACATGAAACACAGGAACTCCCCTAGTCCAGTGTCTAGAACATGAAACACATGAACTCCCCTAGTGCAGTGTCTAGAACATGAAACACATGAACTCCCCTAGTGCAGTGTCTAGAACATGAAAAACATGAACTCCCCTAGTGCAGTGTCTAGAACATGAAACCATGAAACACATGAACTCCCCTAGTGCAGTGTCTAGAACATGAAACACATGAACTCCCCTAGTCCAGTGTCTAGAACATGAAACGCATAAACTCCCCTAGTCCAGTGTTTAGAACATAAACACATTAGCGCCTCAACCTCTGTTCAGATTATGGAACACCAGAACCCATCCTTATTATGGGAAAAATAATGCCTGTAGACTTTTTCTCATGATGTACATCTAAAAACAATATTGTAAAAATAATAAATCCTTTTCTTCCATGTTTACATAATACATTACCGAAAACTTGACTTTGTAAATTTTCTTTCGAAGCTAGAGAGTATGGAAAGGCGTACCATGATTATAATTTTTGTTCTTGCAAATGTGGTCATCGTTTGCTTGTTTACACTTCGTTCGAGAGACCAAGGTAACGAAAAACTTACATTACAATGTCTTCTGCTTTAAATCTGCATGAAAAGTGTTATTTTATCACTTTTATTCATAGAAATAAAAAAGCATTGGATTATTTTATTACTAAAATTTTTTTACATACACACATGGTGTATGGAAAAAACTGAATCGGGAATCGCCGCTAAAGTCGGGAGCGCGCAAGACATTCAAAAACGTTTGATAGAAATAGGGAGTTCCCATTGCTCATCTGACATTGAAAGCTTCATGTTTGTAAATGTAGATCGTCCAGGTTGGTATAGTCCTGAGAAGGACTGTTTTTGTTCTTGTTGACTGACGTTTCGACAACCTTAGCGGTAGTCATCTTCAGAGTCAAATGAGGAGTAAACGTAATGTATTTTGTCAGTCATTTTGACTCTGAAGATGACTACCGCTAACGTTGTCGAAACGTCAGTCAACAACAACACCCACAGTCCTTCTCAGGACTATACCAACCTGGACGATCGACATTTACAAACATGTAACGATACTCCCGGGTTCAAATCATTTACTTTATTATAAGCTTCGCAAATAATAATCATTATTGCAGCCAGCCCGATTTTTTACTCTCGCCATGCAAATATTTTTGTGTTCACTGACCTTGAGAACAATAGATTTCTAAAGAAATGAGTAATGGTATTCCTTCATAATGTACATAGCGAGAGTAAATCTGTAGGCTGGCTACACTAGTCTACTGATAATAACCATTTTTAGAGTGAGAATTGTTTTGCTAAATAGCACTTTCTGAAATAGCTAGCGCACGAAAATGATGCCACAAAACAACGATGAAAACACATAGGTTTAAATATGGCGTATGTTCTTCAACTGGTTCAAGCTAACAAAGTTTTAGGAATTTTGGATGACGCGTACGCGAGCGCTTAACGTTCAAATTGCGATTAATTTTGAACTTTTCGTGTTAAATATAATCCTCTTCAATTATGCATAAATTTGAGGTTAAGTTAATCCAAATATGAATAATTGTTGAAGGTAAGAAATAATCTGTAATTTGGATGCCTAAAAATCGTGCACGGTTCCGTCAAATTTCCTGGAACAGCTTGAACAGCATGTCCCACATTTTACCCCTATGTGATCCAATATTCCACGTTTTATCCCTATGTGATCCAATATTCCTTATTTTACCCCTATGTGATCCAATTTTTACCCCTATGTGATCCGATATCCCACATTTTACCCCTATGTGATCCAATATCCCACATTTTACCCCTACGTATGTGATCCAATATCCATATTTTACTCCTATGTGATCCAATTTCCCACATTTTACTACTATGTGATCCAATATCCCACATTTTATCCGTATGTGATCCAATATCCCACATTTTACCCGTATGTGATCCAATATCCACATTTTACCCCTATGTGATCCAATATTCCACATTTTACCCCTATGTGATCCAATATACCACATTTTACTCCTATGTGATCCAATATTCCACATTTTACCCCTATGTGATCCAATATCCCACATTTCACCCCCACGTATGTGATCCAATATCCCGCATTTACCCCTATGGGATCCAATATCCCACATTTCACCCCCACGTATGTGATCCAATATCCCGCATTTACTCCTATGGGATCCAATATCCCACATTCACCCCTACGTATGTGATCCAATATCCCGCATTTACCCCTATGTGATCCAATATCCCACATTTTACCCCTACGTATGTGATTCACTAGATTTTTAGCTTTGTTATTTTTGTGTGCAAGATATTTCAAAAGTGCTTCTCGGTAACACAATTCTCTCTCAAAAAATGGTTTTTATTTGAAAAATTTTAATGTCAGATGAATCATTAAAAGACCAACTACCTACTCCATCAAAGGTTTTTGCAGATTATGCGCGCTTATAACTTTAGTGATGTTTTCCTACCTGTTCACTTGTTTTGGTTTTTTTTTGATAAACCCATTATACGTACATTTTAACGTTCAAAATGCTTTTCAATGCTTAAAATTACGTAGTGCAAAGAAATGCAATTTTTATGCTGTTTGTACTGTATAGGTAGCAATGATTTAGAACCCAGTCTTCTAGATGTCTAACTACCGCGTCAAGGCGAGGCAAGGACGCCATCTTGAAAGGTGGCAAAAAGCAAAACTAAAAATAAAAAGTAACAAAGTAAATGGTTTGAACACGGGAGTATCGTTACATGTTTGCAAATGTAGATCGTCCAGGTTGGTACTTTTTATTACAAACATGTAATAAAAAGTAAGTTAAAACAAAGTTTAAAGAACCCATCATATCAAACATTTTAATAATTAAACCTAGACTATGAACTTTGCGAATCTATATCAACTCAGCAAAAGCAGATATTAGTCGTAAACGTCGTCAGTTTTGCCACCTTTCAAGATGGCGGCTTGCCTCACTCATTACTATACAATAATGACGGAGTCCGTTATCTAGTAGATTGGGTTCTAGGTCGTTGATACGTGGCTGCTCTTTTCTACGTCATAGGTCATACCCTTGAAGGATCGTGTTCAGGGGGGAGGTCTTAAAATTATGCTTGTCTTACGTTTTTTTGGTAGATCAACATGCATTTAAAACAGCAAAGAAGACAGGAGAAAGCAAAAGATACTATGGTCAGTGTAAGTATCAGTAAGTAATAAATATATGATTATTTTTGACGATTTAATTATATTTTACCGTTTTATTTTTACCTAAAATTTTTTTGTTGTGGAACATTAATTTTCCACAACGATTAAAACGTAATATGAACACGACGGAGCTTTGTAAACTGAGTTTTATGTAAACTTTAATATATTTCCATTTTAGTCAGGAAATTCTCAAAAACTGCTAAATCGATTGTAATAAATTACTATAAGAAAAGATACGTTGACCGAAAAGGCGAAGATAAAAATGTCGAACCCGTAAAAGATGTCGAAAAAATGGGAAAAAACGCGAAAGATGTTGACAAAAGTTTTGGTAAGTAAGCTTTGTCATTAATGTAACATTTGTGAAGAAGTTGAAAATTCCTGTGTTGAGAGTGTAGGATTATGATCTGTACATCGTATTGCTTTTCATCTATTTCTTATTTTGGATATTTTGAAATTTTAGAAATAGCTACCATCGTGTGCGTTCAAAAACATGAAATATTATTGTGTAAAATGTGTTAGAATGAATTGTTTGAACTCATAAGTATCATTAAATGTTTGAATAATTATTGATTTACCATGTCTGTGCCGTCGTTTGAAGTATTGTCGGTAAGGAGGTCGTAGTATTGACTGATGTTTTGATATTCCTAGCAGTACGTATCTTAAAGAGAATGATAAATGTCAAGTTTCTTTTGGTTTATACTTCACGAAATTGTACTATTATTTAAGGACTTATATGTAAACGTGTGAGTATTAGTGTCCATTGTGGTTTGTTGTTGTAGATTACTTTGTCTCGATGTGTTCATACCACCAAATGTTTATATCAATGGGAGGGGGACGAGGGGGGTAAAGCCCCCCCCTCAAATAATTTTGAAACATTTAAAATCTAGGGCCAAATCCCTTAAATCGCACCTACGTACATGACATAACTATCACGTTAAATAATAACTATTTGATAAACGTCTGTGTGTAGGATGATGGGTACGTAGGAATCGTTACATTAAATTTCTGAAGATCAAATTTTAAGAGTATACCTATAGGTATGCCGTGGAATCTCCCTAGAAATCTCATGTCTTGAGGACAACCCCTCGTCCTTCCCTAGAAATCTCATGCCTTGAGGACGACCCCCCGTCCTTCCCTAGAAATCTCATGTCTTGAGGACGACCCCCCGTCCTTCCCTAGAAATCTCATGTCTTGAGCACGATCCCCGTCCTTCCTTAGAAATCTCATGTCTTGAGGACTAGTCCAACCGCCCAATATTTCATAAAGCGTCCGCCACTGGTTCGCATATCACCAAACTAATGCATGGCACTCCTGGGTTCAAATCAATGACTTTTATGCGGGTTTTTTTACGGATGATTATAAATTATACGACTACGTATTAATAGTAGCTACTTTAAGGTTGTACTCAGAGATTGGACGTAAAAAATAAAGAAAAATGTTAAAGCTGTTTTTTATATTTAGTGACTTGCCAAGAAAGTACGAGAATTGAAAGTAAACTGTACCTAGTGATTATTTGGATTATCGTTTTTAGACATCACGTACAAACTTGATTGAAAAAAAAGATGATAGTAAAATGTAGATTTTGTCGCAATGACAAATCTAAAATTTGTCAATCTAAACATGACAGGATCCTACGGACATCTTGTCCGAGAACTAAATATTTGTTTTTCTTCTCATGTAGATGATTTGACAACATCTAGCACCAATACGAAACTACTGTCAACCAAGGAAATTACAAACCTAAACATAACCCATTAATTTTCTACAATGACTTAAACATAATATGAACACGACAAAGCTTTGTAAACCGAGTTTTATGTAAATCTCATTATATTTCCATTTTAGTCCAGAATTTCTCAAAAACTGCTAAATCAATTGTAAAAAATGTCTATAAGAAAAAATACGTTGACCGAAAAGGCGAAGATAAAAATGTCGACGACCTAAAAGATGTTAAAAAAATAGAAAAAAACGCGAAAAATGTTGACAAAAGTTTTGGTAAGTAAGCGTTGGCATTAATGTAACAAAGAAATACATTTGTGAAGAAGTTGAAAATTCTTGTGTTGAGAGTGTAGGATTATGATCTGTATATCGCATTGCTTTTTATCTCTTTCTTACCTTGGAAAAATGACAGGATCCTACGGGCATCGTGTCAAAGAACTAAATATTTTGTTTTTTTTCTCATATAGATGATTTGACAACATCTAGCACCAACACGAAACCACAGTCAACAAAGGGAATTACAAAATTGCAAAATTGCACGAGAAGAAAACATTATTTTGACGACATTTTGGTTGTGATGATTTACCATTATCCATATTACGATACAATACCTATGTTGAAGTCATATTATGAAGATGCATTTAAAAATTTGATCATTTGTGGGTCTGAAGCAAGTCCTTCACACGAAATAATGGTGGTTGATATTCATATTGGCTATTACGGTTATGAATGCATTGGAGAAGCTATACGAAGGTAATAATTTACTTCACTCCCACCAAGTATAATAAAAAAGGCGCTTTCAAACACAACAAGTTCAATAATTAGGGATAGGGGGCATATTCCATATTCCTAGTTTTTAATCCGTGTTAATGCATAACCACAATTGATTTCAATAAAAACTACTAAAGAAGAACTTGAATATATGAATAATGGCCATATCTTCCAATTATGGATATTGCTAAATATATAATCCAAATCTTAGTCCTTAAGTAGTTTTAACCTGGTCCTCTTTGGTCGACTTCTAAACTCTAGTCCTAACGTCAATCTCTGCCATAATCCAATTGACCTTAGGGGGGGGGGGTGGGCTAATTTTCATATATGCATGCTACTCAGATCTCTGCTGTAACTGTTTTTTTGAAGTATTTTTTCATATTAACTAGAACCGTTTGCAGCGGGAAAGATTTTGTTTTCAGAAACCTGTCTATCAAGCTCTTAAATCGATAGCATTCCATATGAAAGCGTTGTTGATCTCCATTGTTACTTAAATGCACGAGCATGTTGTTCTGTCATAAAATGTCAAATTGCAGGTCTAGTTGTCGATTACATTTTCTCATTTGTCACATGGTTGCAAGATTAAGTACGATCTTCGATATTTAAACAATGAATAAGACTGAAAAGTGATATTTGTATTTTTGAACAGGCATCCCAATTATACAGGCTATTTGTACATGAATGACGACACACTTGTGAACTGGTGGACATTTCTCAAACTTGATAAAGACAAAATTTGGCATGGAGGGGGGGTGAGTAATGAAAAAGAGAGCCATGAGTTTGGCCATCGTCCTCTCTCCACTGTATGGATGTGGTGGAAACACTCGGCTATTCCTTGTGAAGAAACTTACGAAGAAATTAAACGGTCTTACAACCACAATTCAATCATAAACATAACGCAATTAGTACAAACGCATCTTACAAATGGTAATGGAAAATTGTATTGTGTTAAAGGATGGTCAGATTTGTTTTATGTTCCAGGAAGGTTGAGCCAACAATTTCAAAGAATTTCTTCTATCTTTCATAAAAGACGTGTTTTCCTCGAAATGGCTGTGCCGACAATGTTCACTTTGCTTGAGTTAAAAAAGTTTTGGGAAATGCCTCATGGTACATACCTTCCTGACAAATATGGTTTCTTAAACTTTGCCGATGGAAAGATAGTATGGGAAAATTATAATTTCGACCTCTACTTCATCCATCCTGTAAAATTTCACGGCGAAGTTGCCAAAACTAGCCAAGAAAATTTGAAGAAAATCGTGATTCCTTATTCAAAACTATTGCTCACGTGTTGAAACTACAAACTCTGTATTATCGTCTGTTTGCACCAGTAGCGTAAGACTAATACCAAGATCTTAGGGCAGTTATGTCTATGTGTGGAATTAATTTTTCCGACAAAATAGCTGGAAGAAAGATCGTGGTATTATTTTGCATAACATTTTTATTAAAATCACTTTATTAAGAAAACTTTACATTGAGAATACTGTACATTTTTTTTTGGAAAAATTAAATTTTTCTTAAAACACTTTAGGAGTTGTTTCCTAACGAGGTGCCGAGTTTTCTCAATAAACTTGTTAACCAAGGGAGTACACACCCCCCCGATGATGTCAATTTTGGACACATAAAATGTATTATTAGTGACGAGAGTGGACATTTCAGAAAGATACATGTAGCTCACGAGTAAAGGTTGGCAGGTAATGTCAATTTTGGACACATAAAATGTATTATTAGTGACGAGAGTTGACATTTCAGAAAGGTACATGTAGCTCACGAGTAAAGGTTGGCAGGTAATGTCAATTTTGGACACATAAAAGGTATTATTAGTGACGAGAGTTGCAATTTCAGAAAGGTACATGTAGCTCACGAGTAAAGGTTGGCAGGTAATGCCAATTTTGGACACATAAATATATTATTAGTGACGAGAGTTGACATTTCAGAAAGATACCTGTAGCTCACGAGTAAAGGTTGGCAGGTAATGTCAATTTTGGACACATAAATATATTATTAGTGACGAGAGTTGACATTTCAGAAAGATACATGTAGCTCACGAGTAAATTTTGGCAGGTAATGCCAATTTTGGACATATAAAGTATATTATTAATTGCGAGGGTTGAGATTTTAGGTATTTGCAGTCACACGATCATTGAAAGCATAATCTTATGAAAATGTTTTTAAGAAGCATAAGATAAGAACAAAACAATACGGCGTGGGGTAATGTCACATAGTACGATGGATTGATAGCGATAGATTTGCAAATTAGGACACAAAAATCGCAAAGATTTGGCGAAGTAGAATAGTAGCATTTTGTATTTACGATATACCAACATAAATACAAAATGCTACTATCATTTTTAAAGAATAACATCCTTCGTAAGCCAGGAATTGGATGCTAAAAAGTATTCACCGGCAGACGGCAATTCGTTTTTTAGTGCTGTTCCTCGTAATTTTCAGAATCGTAACAAACGAGTACATGTCTAATCTAGTAAACAGTGATTATTTGATGTAGCTAAATGGCCGAGATACAAAAATGCCAATGTTTTTATGTCGTAAACTTTACATAGCACATTTCATCGTGAAAGATCAGAAGAGACAGATCAAACATGAATTTCTGTAAACAACTTAGGATTCATCTAATTTTTCCCTTAATTTTCTTTGTTATAAAGGCAAATCAGTTTGTTGTAGATGTATAAAATATTGTATTTAAATTTTGATTTATAGGCGCACGACAATGGAAGGCTGTTCCAGTTACATCAATAAATATAAAATTTTGGTTGCTTTTGTCTTAGTAAACTTGCTCGTCATGGTGATGTATCGTGTTTATTTCAAAGAATCAGGTATCCATTACCATCATGCATAACTCTATTTAAACAATCAGATATTCCATTACCATCATGCATAGCTCCTTTTAAATAATCATATATTCCATTACCATCATGCATAGCTCTATTTAAAGAATGAGATATTCCATTACCATCATGCATAGCTCTATTTACAGAATGAGATATTCCATTACCATCATGCATAGCTCTAAAGAATCAGATATTCCATTACCATCATGCATAGCTCCTTTTAAATAATCAGATATTCCATTACCATCATGCATAGCTCCTTTTAAATAATCATATATTCCATTACCATCATGCATAGCTCTATTTAAAGGATCATATATGCCATTACCATCATGCATATCTCCATTTTAAGAAACAAGTTTGCCAAAACAATCATGTATACATACATTTTTATAGCTCCATTTAAAGAATCAGATGTTACGTTACAATCAGCCGTAGCTAATTTTAAACAACCATTATGTATAGCATTTCCAATTAAAGAATCGCTGAAAATACGATCTGTTATCTATTCATAGCAGGAGGAAGGCATTAGTTTTGTAAATTGTCAGTTGGAACATGGTGATGGAAAACATATTTTATTGAGAGAATCAATAATGCAGTGGACCTCGGATTCTTCTGTAGGGCGTATCATTTACATAAAATTGTAATAGTTATCTTGAAAATAAAACTTTTGTTTGATTGATTAATTGATTGAAAAAAGATTAATCCATACATCTTTCATCTTCATAAATTTTGAAATAGTACTGTACTTAATGAAAAACACACTTTTTAATAAGGGAAGGCCAGCTCGATAACTGGTTGCATGTTATATAATCTGCAGAATACAATGAATTATTAAATAATAACTATTTGATAAACGTCTGTTCGAAGGATGATGTGTACGTCGAAATGATTGAATTAAATTTCTGAAGATCGAAATTTTAAAAGTATACCAATAAGCATGCTGTGGAATCTCCCTAGAAATCTCATGTCTTGAGGACAAGTCTTCTCCCCAATATTTCGTAAAGCGTCCGCCACTGGTTAGCGTATCACCAAACTAAAGCATGGCACTCCTGGGTTCAAATCGATGACTTTTATGTGTTTTATTTTACGGATAATAACTACGTATTAATAGTAGCTAATTTAACGTTGTACTCAGAGACTGCACGTGAAAGATAAAGAAAAATGTAAAATCTGTTTTTCATATTTAACAACTTGCCAAAAAGAATAAGTATTAAAAATGGGGTTGAAAGTAGAGTGTACATAGTGATTATTCGAACTATCGTTTTTAGACATAATCACGTACAAACTTGATTGGAAAGAAGATGATAGTAAAATGTAGATTTTGCCGTAATGAAAAATCTAAAATTTGTCAATCTAAACATGACAGGATCGTACCATCATCGTGCGTAAGAACTAATAATTAGTTTTTCTTCTCATATAGATGCTTTGATAACATCTAGCGCCAATACGAAACCATTCTCAACCAAGGGAATTACAAAATTGCAACAATGCACGAGAAGAAAACATTATTTTGACGACATTTTAGTTGTGATGATTTACCATTATCCATATTACGATACAATACCTATATTGAAGTCATATTATGAAGATGCATTTAAAAATTTGATCATTTGTGGGTCTGAAGCAAGTCCTTCACACGAAATAATGGTCGTTGATATTCATAATGGCCATTACGGTTATGAATGCATTGGAGAAGCTATACGAAAGTTATAATTTACTTCACTCCCACCAAGTATAATGAAAAAGGCGCTTTCAAAAGACAACAAGCTCCATATTTAGGGATAGGGGGCATATTCTATATTGTTAGTTTTTAATCTATGTTAATTTATAACCACAATTGATTTCAATAAAAACTACTAAAGAAGAACTTGAATATATGAATAAGGGCCATCCCTCCCAATTAGGGATCTTGCTAAATATATAATCCAAACCCTAGCCCTTAACTAGTTTTAACCTTACTCTTTGGTCGACTTCTAAACTCTTGTCCTAACGTCACTCTCTATCATAATCAATTTGACCTTGGGGAGGGGTGGGCTAATTTTCATATATGCATGCTACTCAGATTTCTGCTGTGACTGTTTTTTTGAAGTATTTTTTCACATTAACCAAAACCGTTTGCAGCGGGAACGATTTTGTTTTCAGAAACTTGTTTATGAAGCTCTTAAATCGATAGCATTCCATATCAAAGCGTTGTTGATTCCCATTGTTATTTAATATACACGAGCATGTTGTTCTGTTATAAAATGTCAAATTGCAGGTCTAGTTGTCGATTACATTTTCTCATTTGTCACATGGTTGCAAGATTAAGGACGATCTTCGATATTTAAACAATGAATAAGACTGAAAAGTGTTATTTGTATTTTTGAACAGGCATCCCAATTATACAGGCTATTTGTACATGAATGACGACACACTTGTGAACTGGTGGACATTTCTCAAACTTGATAAGGACAAAATTTGGCATGGAGGGGGGGTGAGTAATGAAAAAGAGAGCCATGAGTTTGGCCATCGTCCTCTCTCCACTGTATGGATGTGGTGGAAACACTCGGCTATTCCTTGTGAAGAAACTTACGAAGAAATTAAACGGTCTTACAACCACAGTTCAATCATAAACATAACAAAATTGGTACACACGCATCTTACAAATGGTAATGGAAAATTGTATTGTGTTAAAGGATGGTCAGATTTGTTTTATGTTCCAGGAAGGTTGAGCCAACAGTTTCAAAGAATTTCTTCTATCTTTCATAAAAGACGTGTTTTTCTCGAAATGGCTGTGCCGACAATGTTCACTTTGCTTGAGTTAAAAAAGTTTTGGGAAATGCCTCATGGTACATACCTTCCTGACAAATATGGTTTCTTAAATTTTGCCGATGGAAAGATAGTATGGGAAAATTATAATTTCGACCTTTACTTCATCCATCCTGTAAAATTTCACGGCGAAGTTGCCAAAACTAGCCAAGAAAATTTGAAGAAGATCGTGATTCCTTATTCAAAACTATTGCTCACATGTTAAAACTACAAAATCTTTATTATCGTCTGTTTCCACCAATAGCGTAACACTAATACCAAGATCTTAGGGCAGTTGTGTCTATGTGTGGAATTAATTTTTCCGACAAAATAGCCCGAAAAAAGATCGTGGTATAATTTTGCATAACATTTTTAATAAAATCACTTTATTGAGAAAACTTTACATTGAGAAAACTTTATTGAGAAAACTGTACATTTATTTTTGGAAAAATTAAATTTTATTCTGTTGACCGTTTTAGGTTTAAATTCAAATCTTACCGCGCTACGTCACTCACCGAGTGTAGACCGGGAATACCCGAAGGTTTTGAAATATGAAATTTTGATGAGTCTTCGAGAAATGAATAATTATTTCAAAAAATTAATGCGCCGACTGCAGTAGAGTTTAGGCAATCATAATTTAAATTAGCGAAAATCAAAACACTTAAGGAGTTGTTTTCTAACGAGGTACCGAGTTTTCTCGATAAACTTGTTAATTAAGGGAGTACACGCCCCCCGGTCATGTTTATGTCCCTGGTTTGTTTATATGGTTAGCATATGTAACGAATGGGTGAAAGCAATGATTTTTTACTGAAGGAACACGTCCAAGATAACTGAACCACTTCCAGACTAACCCGCCCCCCCCCGGCCACCAGCAATCAGTTGAAAGACTGCACTCGTGAGAAATGAAATCTCGTTAGAAAGACAGTTTTTGAATCCTTTCCCAAAGGATTTAAATCAGTTCCTGTGAAATTTCCTTAGATAGAGATGCATGAATATAAGCTGTACGTTTATGTAGGCGGAATGTTAAGCTTTTCCGTGTTTGTTTTTTAATAAATTTAATTCAAAGTGATCTGAACCCACTGGATTAACGATGTTAAAACGATATTTTCACGATATTTAAAAACGGTATTTACAAACAATATTTAAAAATGATACTTTCACTTCATTGAGTGCTTGCTTTGAAAAAAAAATAGCGAAATTCTGATGAAGAAATTAGTTTGCTGTTGATTTTAAGGAGCGTGATTTCTTTGTCGCACCTCTAAAGTACGTATGAGAGTTGGGGAACATTTAGAGTCTGTTGGGTCTTACTCATTTAAATGTTGTTTTTTTTATATACGTAGTGGACTTTTTTTAGTAGTGAATATTTTTGTGTTTGTTGAGAGAAATTTTTTCTTCAATCTTTATTATTGTAAAGTCGTCTCGTGCTCTACGTATAAATATACTTTTGTGTCCACGTTGACAAAGCTTTTTCTTCAGGCCACAGCATTGAGTAAGAAATTACAAAATCGACTGAATGAAAAGACAGAAGTTGAGGAAAATTTAAGAGGCGACATTGAGAGGGTGTTGTCGGAAAAAGATTTGATTGATCGTGAAAGAGAAGAGTTTCAATAACATGTATAATTGTGTGCACACTAGTTATGGCATAAATCCAAAGCATTGCATTATACTACTGGCTAAATTTCAACAATATTGGACATGGAGTTTGAAAATTGACATTGTAATATAGAATACAGTAAATTTCGATTTAATAGGTTAATGCAGGTCAGGATGCTTTGAAATTTAAATAAATTCAACAGGGAATAAACACCCCCTGTGCCCCTTCCCATCATATTCCTAACATTAAAGAGAGTAAGCCTTAAGCATTACATAAATACAAGTATAGACCTATAGCTATGCATTACAATGTCAAGCATAGTAAGCAGTAAGCACTTCAAGCTACTTACTTTAAAGCCCGCCAATTATCTCCCATATGCTTAGGGATAATCAACTCTGCGTTAAGATCTCTTGCCAGCTTTCCTTTTCGAAACAGGTCAGTTTTAGTCGGAATTGCAGCAGAGACTTTTGCTTCATAATCCTTTCTTACAGAAGAAATTTCGCTGGTTTTACTGTCTTGAATCAATGAGCCCAGATCGTATATATATGCCTACTCTCAGCCATGATGACTTCAAGATATAAATAAGCCAAATGCCATAGTCATGTAATTATAATTTTAAAGGTTTGAAGATTTATAACGCTGGCTCAAGTGCATCAGTCAGAATGAAATTTTAGTGCTCGTGGGCTTAGTGCAACAGTCAGCAGCGATTTCCCACCGTGACGTAGGTGAAAAAACAATGAAATTCGTGACGTTTAGGTGGTTTACTCGGCCAAAGAGACTCGGGACTGTTGCACCAACTGATGCATTTTTTCCCCATCCTGACGTAGTGATTCACTATCTAGCCACCGTGACGTAGTAATACCGTTGAGTTCTATAATTGAGTTTTTATAGAACTCAATGAGTAATACAAATTCAGCTCAGTCTAGCTGGATGATGAAACAAATTTTCGCTAAAAATTTCGACACATAAAAACGCCATATTTAGCGTAGCATTTTTCAATAATGCGGCCATAATCAAAATGATACTCACATGTAAACAATCTACGAAGGCTTTAAACAATATTTCTCAATCATCAATGTACATCTGTTGTCAATATATTGTCAGCGTTAAGGTATTGAAAGCATTTAGAAACTAGAAACATTCCAATCTGATATATTTCTTGCACTTTGCTTGTATTGATTGTAAGTTATAATGTTGCGAAATATTAACTATTCAATTTTATGACTGATGCACTCGCATCAGTTGCAGCAGCCTGGATTCGCCCCTGGACTGGATCAGGTAAAACATTTACAATGGAAGGTGATATCAATGGTCGAGAAACGTGGGGTATGATACCACGTGCTATGGAACAAGTATTCTTTAGTGCTGAGGATATCACGAGTAAAGGTTGGAAGGTGATAAATATCAATTTTGGACACAAAGAGTATATTATTAGTGACGAGATTTGACATTTCAGAAAGATACATGTAGCTCACGAGTAAATTTATGCAGGTAATGCCAATTTTGGACATATAAAGTATATTATTAGTGACAAGAGTTGACATTTCAGAAAGATACATGTAGCTCACGAGTAAATTTATGCAGGTAATGCCAATTTTGGACATATAAAGTATATTATTAGTGACAAGAGTTGAAATTTCAGAAAGATACATGTAGCTCACGAGTAAATTTATGCAGGTAATGCCAATTTTGGACATATAAAGTATATTATTAGTGACAAGAGTTGACATTTCAGAAAGATACATGTAGCTCACGAGTAAATTTATGCAGGTGATGCCAATTTTGGACAAATAAAGTATATTATTAATTGCGAGGGTTGAGATTTTAGGTATTTGCAGTCACACGATGATTGAAAGCATAATCTTATGAAAAAGGTTTTTAAGAAGCATAAGGTAAGAACAAAACAATACGGCGTGGGGTAATGTCACATAGTACGATGGATTGATAGCGATAGATTTGCAAATTAGGACACAAAAATCACAAAGATTTGGCGAAGTAGAATATTAGCATTTTGTATTTACGAAATACCAACATAAATACAAAATGCTACTATGATTTTTAAAGAATAACATCCTTCGTAAGCCAGGAAGTGGATGCTAAAAAGCTTTCACCGGCAGACGGCAATTCGTTTTTTGGGGCTTTTCCTAGTAATTTTCAGAATCGTAACAAACGAGTACATGTCTAATCTAGTAAGCAGTGATTATTGATGTAGCTAAATGGCCGAGATACAAAAATGCCAATATTTTTATGACGTAAACTTTACATAGCACATTTCATCGAGAAAGAACAGAAGAGACAGATCGAACATGAATTTCTGTAAACAACTTAGGATTCATCTAATCTTTCCCATAATTTTCTTAGTTATAAAGGCAAATCAGTTTGTTGTAGATGTATAAAACATTGTATTTAAATTTTGATTTATAGACGCACGACAATGGAAGGCTGTTGGATTTTGGTTGCTTTTGTCTTAGTAAACTTTCTCATCATGGTGATGTATCGTGTTTATTTCAAAGAATCAGATATTCCATTACCATCATGCATAGCTCTATTTAAAGAATCAGATATTCCATTACCATCATGCATAGCTCTTTTTAAATAATCAGATATTCCTTACCATCATGCATAGGTCCTTTTAAATAATCAGATATTCCATTACCATCATGCATAGCTCTATTTAAAGAATCAGATATTCCATTACCATCATGCATATCTCCATTTTAAGAAACAAGTTTGCCAAAACAATCATGTATACATACATTTTTATAGCTCCATTTAAAGAATCAGATATTACGTTACAATCTGCCGTATCTAATTTTAAACAACCATTATGTATAGCATTTCCAGTTAAAGAATCTCTGAAAATACGACCTGTTATCTATTCATAGCAGGAGGAAGGCATTAGTTTTTGTAAATTGTCAGTTGGAACATGGTGATCGCAAAACATATTTTATTGAGAGAATCAATAATGCGCTGGACCTCGGATTCTTCTGTAGGGCGTATTATTTACATAAAATTGTAATAGTTATCTTAAAAATAAACTTTTTGATTGATTGATTAATTGATTGAGAGTTTAATCGATCAAACTTGTTTGACGCTGGTAAAAAAACGACGCACATCTGCATTCATACATGTGTAGCCGACATATAGCTCTTTCGTCGATAGTTATAAATGCCTCCTCGTAGGAGCAGATAACTGACAACCACAGTTGACTCGCTGTTATGAATTTAAGGTTTTACCTTGATTTTCATCAAAAAATTGCTTGCCGAATCCCAAATACACACATACATTTTCCTCACTCTTCCCTCAGGAGTGGGAAATTGTGAAATTTTCGGAAAAGCGATCAATTTCGGTAAATCTCAACGGCAACGGACGAAATCCGCCATTTTTTTGGCGTCATCAGATATCTAAGGCCGCGCTTGAGATAGCCGCTCCAGTTATTATAGAACTCAATGGTTTAACTGGCTGGAGTAATGGCGGACGCAAAAGATGCGCACTAAAGTACTCGGTACAAGTAGGGGACCAATGAACTCTAATGTTGTAGAGTTAATTGTAGTGGACAGTTTAGGTTCATTGAGTGACGCTTCTCTTCCGTGTCTATTCTGTGGTTTGATGTCGTACCGCAATTTTGGCTGAAACTTGAAGATATCTACAACATTGCTTGTGAATTTAAGATGATTCGTTAACCTTAAACAGATCAAACGGTAAGATTGTTTGCTTCCCTGCTTATTTTATACACGAGTGCAACAAATATTAGAACCAATATTATATGCAGTGCGGTTCCTGAGACAATAGCTTAAATTGTCAAGCAAAGTGCGAAGATCATATCTACATTTAAATATTAGAACTGTGAGATAAATAAGCCATCGTCTTGTTCACGTTGTTCATGTCTTATACCTGTGTGCATGAACTACGTTCTGTTTATTTGAGCGTTGAATATTTTGGATATGAATTGAGAAAGCGAGATGCCCTGGCTAGTCAAATAAGAAGCATGGAATGAAATTTTATTTAGTTATTAATTCTAATATGTATGGTTCGTACATCATTCCTTATGACAAAGTTACAAGATAATTTTTGAGCTGATTAACATTCCACATGCATATGTATATTATACATACTCCAGTAGAAAGCTCACAGTCGAGAAAAAACGGAAACAGCGCTATATTTAAGGAGAAATTTAAGTAAGAGATAACACCCTCATAGTCCATAGCGTGATATTATTCAATTACTCATTCATTGCAATTACAAATTACATTTGAATACGCAGCTGAACGTTGTTAACAAACAGAAACACAATGCGGTGTCTGTGGTTCCTCGCCACACCTTGCCATGATTATCTTACTTATACCCAAATAACCCTAAAAATTATTTCTGAATGTATCTCGTGTCAATATCCAAGATAATGAAAAGAATTCATGTAAATGGTGTTAGGTGTTAAAATTTGTGTTAAGTATTGTAGAAGAAAAAATAGCAAATATATAATGTTAAATAATGCTACTTACACGTTGAAGATAAGGGATTAAAGGATTGTATTTGTTTATTCAGGTTAGGCTTACGTATGTTTCTTAAACATAAAAGACTTCTTTGACTTTAGGTGTGATATTAACGAGGGTTTCTTAAAGGACATTGGCAACGAAAATTTTTATGGCATATTTTTGAACCTTTGTGATGTCTAACAACTAAAATAGAAAAATTTTTTCTCAAAAATATTTTGTTGCTGAGATATTTGCAGCAAAAGTTTTATAAATTGCGCCATCTTGGATAAAATTTTGATAAAATTATCTCGAGCAGTAGTGACGTCTTGGCTGGTGAGCAGTCAAAACAACAATAGAATATACTTTGTGATTGACTGCGTTACAACACATTTAAAGCGTATTTTACGGTTTTTTTTTGCTGTAATGGATGACATACACGAAAATCAACCGGGTAAGGTTCTGCCCTATCAATATGAACCTGAAGTGAAGGCCGAAACTAGTGAAGAAAGCGGTTCCGAACATGAGAGTGAGCAGAGCGACTTGTCCTCTTCGGATGCTGAATTTGAGAAAGCAAATGCTTAGCGCCTTCAAACTCTTAGTTGGTGTAAGTGTGGACATTGTACTTTGTCAAAAAAGGCAATCAAGTGTTTTTGTTGCCACGAAAAAGCGCTTGAATACGATGAGTATGAGGCTTTGCTAGGCGAAACAGATGGGACAATATGCTCTCAGAAAGTGTGTTAAAGATAGACGTGTGTCGGTATCTTGAAGAAAACTGGCCCCTGTCTAATGAGGATCTAGAGAGAATACACAAGCTGTATCGATTAGTTGCCTATCAAAGATGTTCTAGGTGGATTTTTCAAATTTTGGGGAAGAAACATCGAAGACCATTTCCTGCTTGTGTTTATGCTAGCATACGAAAACGCTTCGCGTCACCAGATGGACTTTATACACATTTTAAATATGCATATTTTCACGAAAGACCGTAAATTTAGTCTTAGACAGACGCTCTTTGATGTTCTTTGTTATGATCTGCAATTGCGATGCCATATCATTGTCAAAGGATTGTCACGAACTGCGCAAAAGCAAAATGCATGAGTGATCCACCCAAAACTTGTATTCATTCATAAGTTATAAAGTTAATCGAAAAGTGTACTTGTACATTGTGCACGCAAACACGCACATAAAACATTACGGAGAAACGCAACTCTACAGTCATGAACAAAACATAGCGTCTTATAGCTTATCACCTATATAAAACTACATAATCTTTTAAAGACTCTTATGTATATAAATAATAAATTAAACGTATAACTCATTTGTTGGTGACAGGTTTGTAATATGGGAAAATGAAATATTTCTATTGCACGAAATGTTCAGTGTATAAAACGCGCTTGTTGTTGTCTGGGCTTACCCTTGGTATGTCGGCAAAACCTAGTTGTAAGATCTGCTAAAATAAACGTTTCTACGTCTTATAACGACTAAATATTGGAAAAGTATATAAGCGTGATAAACTACACAACTTTTGTTAATCTTAACAACCGCCGACTGTTGTTTTTGTTTTAAAATTCCAGTGAACAAATGTGCTATATATTATTATAATACTATTATTTTATATTGTGTCATTCAGAGGATATCAGCCAATGACGTCAGTAATGTATTCCGGCATAATTTAGCATAAGGCTTTTTTCTCAAAATGGCGGATATGGATTCAACTTTATGTCAAATTTTCTCAACAGCAAAATTCAAAAGAGACACGAAAACACGAAATTAAGTATTCCATAGCTATTTATGATAAACGTATGAAAAAAAATTTTCGTTGCCAATGTCCTTTAAGTCACGTGCTAAAATGTGATTGACTGATATATTAAACAAGCGGTTACTGATCAAATTATTTAAAATTTCACGATAGAATACAAAGTACAAATCGACGTTAGCAAACTGTGTTTTTCTTTTGCTCTTACTCAAATACATTAACGGCTTCAACTAATTCTTTTTCCATGTCTTTTCAATTAGGGATAAATTAACGTAAATATTCAAATAATTCCACCATTTTTCCGTGCGTCAGTATTTTTATAAGGTCATTGTTTAAGACAAATTAAAATGAAATGCTTCAATTGTTAACGTTATTATATTATTTATATTACAAACAATAGATTAAATTTTTGCTCGTAATTTTTCTTGCAATTCATATTTATATGTGAAGAAAAGTGTTAGGACTAAGGCTGAAACATTACGTAACATTTCATAAGGAGGATGTATTAATAATTGCAAATCTGTGTTCAAGAAGTGTAAATTACATTAGGATGCAATTACTGCTAGTGAATGTAGTAGCTCTCATGTTAATTGTTCAATGTTCATAGATACAAGTTTAAGTCATTCATGGATGGATTGTTAACTTTACGATTTCATAGCATCGGGTTTCGTTATACGTTCATTGCTTTGACGGGTAGTATAATATTTATAACGGATGGATGACGAACTCTCGGGTTTTGTGCAATTTTATCATCCGATCGAAGGATCAAAGTAGTTAAAGTAGCTATGTTTTTGTTATATTTGGTACCTTTTTGCTTATCTGTGCTTTGACACAAAAGTTTTACGGTATTTTAATTTGTACTGCGTAAGACAGTGTGCAATAAATGCAATGAAATTCTACGACACAAAGTTTATTTTAAAGATCAAACATAAGGTATGTGCAGTCACACATTCATTGAAAGCATAATCTTATGAAAATGTTTTTAAGAATCATAAGGTAAGAACAAAACAATACGGCGCGGCGTAATGTCACATAGTACGATGGATTGATTGCGATAGATTTGCAAATTAGGACACAAAAATCCGAAAGGTTTGGCGAAAAAATTTGCACTTGGAGACGTTAACAGCTCAGAAGCGTTATCTTCCGCAAGGAATATGTAGGGGCACTAGGAGTTGCCAATTAAAAACAAAAAATCTGAATATGTCAACTGTATTTAAGATTACGAAAGAGTTAAAAAGTTTATTTTGCTATTTGCATTCTTTAATATATACTCACGAAAATACAAAATGCTATTATGATTTTTAAAGAATAAAATCCTTCGTAAGCTAAGAATTGGATGCTAAAAAGCATTCACCGGCAGACAGCAATTCGTTTTTTGGGCTGTTTCTCGTAATATTCAGAATCGTAACAAACGAGTAGATGTCTAATCTAGTAAGCAATGATTATTTGATGTAGCTAAATGGCCGAGATACAAAAATGCCAATACTTTTATAACGTAAACTTTACATAGCACATTTCATCGAGAAAGATCAGAGAAAGATCTAACATGAATTTCTTTAAACAACTTAGGATTCGTCCAATCTTTCCAATAATTTTCTTTGTTATGAACGCAAATAAGTTTGCTGTTGATGTATTAAACATATTATTTGGATTTTGATTTATAGACGCACGACAATGGAAGGCTGTTGCAGTTACCTCCGTAAATATAAAATTTTGGTTGCTTTTGTCTTAGTAAACTTGCTCATCATGGTGATGTATATTGTTCGTTTCAAAGAATCAGGTATCCATTACCATCATGCATAGCTCCTTTTAAATAATCAGATATTCCATTACCATCATGCATAGCTCTATTTAAATAATCAGATATTCCATTACCATCATGCAAAGCTCCTTTTAAATAATCATATATTCCATTACCATCATGCATAGGTCTATTTAAAGAATCAGATGTTCCATTACCATCATTCATATCTCCATCTTAAGAAACAAGTTTGCCAAAACAATCATGTATACATACATTTTTATAGCTCCATTTAAAGAATTAGATATTACGTTACAATCAGCCGTAGCTAATTTTAAACAACAATTATGTATAGTGAAACAGAGACTTTGTCGTGGTGACAAACTTAAAGATAGATTTCAAAATAGCAAATACCATGGTGAATGGTGATAATAACAATGTAATAGTTCTTAAAAGAACTGTTTTAACCAAAATACTAACCAAACAATTCAAAGGAACCGTTGTTTACAGTTAGAAAGAGACACTATGCATTTCGGCAGACGTTATAAATATAGCATGGTTTGGAGGTTCTCATTTAGCAGACGTTGACACCTGATGAGTAGTCTGCCGGAATGCATAGTGTCTCTTTCTAACTGTATACAACGGTTCCTTTGAATTGTTTGGTTAGTATTTTGGTTAAAACAGTTCTTTTAAGAACTATTACATTGTTATTATCACCATTCACCATGGTATTTGCTATTTTGAAATCTATCTTTAATTATGTATAGCATTTCCAATTAAAAAATCTCTGAAAATACGACCTGTTATCTATTCATAGCAGGAGGAAGGCATTAGTTTTTGTAAATTGTCAGTTGGAACATGGTGATGGTAAAACATATTTTATTGAGAGAATCAATAATGCGGTGGACCTCGGATTCTTCTGTAGGGCGTATTATTTACATAAAATTGTAATAGTTATCTTGAAAATAAACTTTTTGATTGATTGATTAATTGATTGAAAAAAGATTAATCCATACAGCTTTCATCTTCATAAATTTTGAAATAGTACTGTACTTAATGAAAAACACACTTTTTAATAAGGGAAGGCCAGCTCGATAATTGGTTGCATGTTATATAATCTGCAGAACACAATAATTATTAAATAATAACTATTTTATGAACGTCTGTTTGAAGGATGATGTGTACGTAGAAATGATTGAATTAAATTTCTGAAGATCAAAATTTTAAAAGTATACCAATAGGCATGCTGTGGAATCTCCCTAGAAATCTCGCGCCTTGAGAAAAAGTCTTCTCCACAATATTTCATAAAGCGTCCGCCACTGGTTAGCATATCACCAAACTAAAGCATGGCATTCCTGGTTTCAAATCGATGACTTTTATGTGTTTTATTTTACGTATGATTCCAAATTATACGACTACGTATTAATAGTAGCTACTTTAAGGTTGTACTCAGAGATTGGACGTAAAAAATAAAGAAAAATGTTAAAGCTGTTTTGTATATTTAGCGACTTGCCAAGAAAGTATGAGAATTAAAAATGGCGTTGAAAGTAGACTGTACCTAGTGATTATTTGGATCATCGTTTTTAGACATCACGTACAAACTTGATTGAAAAAAAAGATGATAGGAAAATGTAGATTTTGCCGTTATGACAAATCTAAAATTTGTCAATCTAAACATGACAGGATCGTACCATCATCGTGTGTAAGAACTAATTATTTGTTTTTCTTTTCATATAGATGATTTGATAACATCTAGCGCCAATACGAAACCATTCTCAACCAAGGGAATTACAAAATTGCAAAATTGCACAAGAGGAAAACATTATTTTGACGACATTTTAGTTGTGATGATTTACCATTATCCATATTACGATACAATACCTATGTTGAAGTCATATTATAAAGATGCATTTAAGAATTTGATCATTTGTGGGTCTGAATCAAGTCCTTCACACGAAATAATGGTCGTTGATATTCATAATGGCCATTACGGTTATGAATGCATTGGAGAAGCTATACGAAGGTATTAATTTACTTCACTCCCCCAAGTATAATAAAAAAGGCGCTTTCAAAAGACAACAAGCTCCATATTTAGGGATAGGGGGCATATTCTATATTGGTAGTTTTTAATCTATGTTAATTTATAACCACAATTGATTTCAACAAAAACTACTAAAGAAGAACTTGAATATATGAATAAGGGCCATCCCTCCCAATTAGGGATCTTGCTAAATATATAATCCTAACCCTAGCCCTTAACTAGTTTTAACCTTACTCTTTGGTCGACTTCTAAACTCTTGTCCTAACGTCACTCTCTATCATAATCAATTTGACCTTGGGGGAGGGGGGGCTAATTTTCATATATGCATGCTACTCAGATTTCTGCTGTGACTGTTTTTTTGAAGTATTTTTTCACATTAACCAAAACCGTTTGCAGCGGGAAAGATTTTGTTTTCAGAAACTTGTTTATGAAGCTCTTAAATCGATAGCATTCCTTATCAAAGCGTTATTGATCTCCATTGTTACTTAAATGCACGAGCATGTTGTTCTATCATAAAATGTCAAATTGCAGGTCTAGTTGTCGATTACATTTTCTCATTTATCACATGGTTGCAAGATTAAGGACGATCTTCGATATTTAAACAATGAATAAGATTGAAAAGTGTTATTTGTATTTTTGAACAGGCATCCCAATTATACAGGCTATTTGTACATGAATGACGACACACTTGTGAACTGGTGGACATTTCTCAAACTTGATAAGGACAAAATTTGGTATGGAGGGGGGGTGAGTAATGAAAAAGAGGGCCATGAGTTTGGCCATCGTCCTATCTCCACTGGATGGTCTTGGTGGCCACTCACGGCTATTCCTTGTGAAGAATCATACGAAGAAATTAGACAGACTTACAACCACAGTTCAATCATAAACATAACGAAATTAGTACAGACGCATCTTACAAATGGTAATGGAAAATTGAAGTGTATTAATGGATGGTCAGATCTGTTTTATGTTCCAAGAAGGTTGAGCGAACAATTTCAAAGAATTTCTTCTATCTTTCACAAAAGACGTGCTTTTCTCGAAGCGGCTGTGCCGACAATGTTCACTTTCATTGAGTTAAAAAAGTTTTGGGAAATGCCTTATGGTACATACCTTCCTGACAAATATGGTTACATAGACTTTGCCGATGGAAAGATAGTATGGGAAAATTATAATTTCGACATTTACTTCATTCATCCTGTAAAATTTCACGGCGAAGTTGCCAAAACTAGCCGTGAAAATTTGAAGAAATTTGTGATTCCTCATTCGAAACTATTGCTCACATGTTAAAACTACAAAATCTTTATTATCGTCTGTTTGCACCAGTAGCGTAAGACTAATACCAAGATCTTAGGGCAATTGTGTCTATGTGTGGAATTAACTTTTCCGACAAAATAGCCTGAAAATAGATCGAGGTATAATTTTGCATAACATTTTCATTAAAATCATTTTAATAAGGAAACTTTACATTGAGAAAACTGTACATTTATTTTAGGAAAAATTAAATTTTTCTTAAAACACTTAAGGAGTTGTTTCCTAACGAGGTACCGAGTTTTCTCGATAAACTTGTCAACCAAGGGAGTACACGCTCCCCGGTCATGTTTATGTCCCTGGTTTGTTTATATGGTTAACATATGTAACGAATGGGTGAAAGCAATGATTTTTTACTGAAGGAACTCGTCCAAGATAACTGAATCCTTTCCCAAAGGATTTAAATCATTTAAACGAAGATGGCAGCCGTGACTGATAATGTAAACCACTTGTTGAAAAGACCAAAATTTAGAAATTTTAGACGTGAAGAATGCCCCTGGATTTTGCGGGGAAGGTTCATGTCTTCGGCTTTTAACGTTTTACCGCTCCAAATCTTTGGTGGAGGATGCGTTTAGAGCAGGAAAAATTCAATAATGTCTGTAAGCTAACACGACTTTTTAAGACTCGGATATGACTCTCCAAACTCTACTGCAGTCGGCGCAGTAATTTCTTGACATATTTATTCATTTCTCGAAGACGTGATCAGAATTTCAAATCTCAAAACTTTCGGGTTTTGCCGGTCTACATTCGGCGAGTGACGTAGCGCGGTAAGATTTGAATTCAAACATACAACGGTCAACAGACATAAAAACTTGCAGAGGCTTTTGTTTTGCTACGTACGTATACTAAACGCTGGATTCTTTATTTAAACTCATTGTAGAAAGTGAGATTACTTCAAGGAGGAAATCAAGGTTTGATTATAGGAGTTTTTAAATAGAAATAGTAAATTAAACGAGGTGATCTCAGTGTATTTTACACACAGACATCATCAAACACGAGAATGAAGACAACTTTGTAAGATTGTTGATATTATTCTGTATATCAAACGTTTCAAACAATCTTGAATATTTACCTAAGTACACTGCGTTGTATTTTTTGAATTCTGAATTTTATTTAAATAATAAATATTGACTACCCGACGTTTCATTCTCACAGATACTTGTGTGTGAAAGGTTTTCTACAAGTGTAGCTTTTTATCAACCGAACTAAAGCGTGGTTTCTAAAAATTATCTTGGTCTAAAACTTTGCTTCATGTATCAGACTATCAGACGGACTCTTCTTGTATTTAGTTTTACAGACGATGTAAAAGCTTCATACATCGTTACTTTAGTGATTGTTGGTAAGATATGTTTACTACCTAAAAGAAGCATCAATATAATTCCAGTATACTTTGATGCAAATTAGCAAAATTGTGAAATCAATATTCAATAAGGAAGAAGCTAGCACTCTCTGTTTATGTATTAAACATTATGTACCATGTGTATTTGGTTTGATATATGTTCACAGGTGAATTGTTGTTGAGTTTTCTGGTTGATTTCAGTCTTCTTAAACTGGTCTTTTTTTAATTCAAAGTACCTTCAGAACAACACTATATTTGTTATAATTTCCCATAGGATGTGTTTGAATGCATTTGAATTTTACACATGATCAAAGGTATTTGGAAATTTAAATAGACACAAAAATGATGTGCATTAATTTATTTTGAGAGACCCTACATAACAATATTGCTTGTAATTTAAGATAGGGGGGTAGAATTGACAAAATGTTTGTTGATAACAATGTTTGGCAACATGACATTAATTAAATTCTTAATAAGTACAACACATTGTTCGTTATTGAATCAATAAATCAAGTGAATTTTTATATTTCTTTAGTTTGACAAGATGAGTAACAGTACGAACGTAAGTTTTATCATTTCCAGCTTTATATATAAATAAGTTTTCAAAGGATTTTGGAGGGATTGTATTGTGAGATACATTCTCAAAATTGTCATCACAGAATCAAACATTAAGTTAAAAATAATGTTGCTGTAAACTATAAACATTTACAAATTGATGAATTTTTTATAATTTTAGATCAACAGTAAATTGAAACCACCGTCATTGCTTGTGGTTCGTCGAGCTACACTTGCTGCATGTCGTGAAAAAAGCAACAACTTGGTTTGTGAATTGTATACTTTTATACAACGTTCACTTCAACAATATATGAAGTATTTTATATTTTAAACTTTTAAAAACACAAAATAATATATGGATTCAGTTACATGCTGACTGTGTACTTCTGGAGATGCCATACTACTTTGTTGTGTGTAAATTTGTTTAACATGTGTACTTCTGGAGATGCCATACTACTTTGTTGTGTGTAAATTTGTTTAACATGTGTACTTCTGGAGATGCCATACTACTTTGTTGTGTGTAAATTTGTTTAACAGATGATCAATGCAAATGATAGGTTTGTGAATTAGAATTTGTACTACAAGTGTTTAGGCATTTCAATGAAACAAAAAATTGTGTTGTCAACTGTGGGTTTAGTATTCACTTTATGGATGTTTTTTTCATTAATATTATAGACAAGGGTTTTGATGATTTTGTTTTAACAAGCTGGTTTAAAAATGTTGTTTGTCAAGTCCTTGCTTTTAATATTACAATAGAAAGGTGGATAAACAATGGTATGCAGAAAGACAAATGCACTTTCACTGAATAACTTTGATTCTAAACTTGACAAATGATTACTTTTTAAAATATATATGTATATTTTTGAATATACAAAAATATACAAATTAAAATTTTATTTTATTTTATTTTTATTAAAATTTTATTTTTGTATATTTTTGTATTTTTTTTATTTTTTGTCATTTGTATATTTTTGTATTTTTTTTTATACATTTGTATATTTTTTTCAATGTAATTTAGCAGTACTTTTACACTTGATCGAATCATCATTTTCTATTGAAGTAACTTTGATTTTTTAATAGAAAACTATTTGAAAATGATTGATCGGTTTAGTAATAATATTAAACATAATCTTTCGCAGTTCATCTGTGAGGTTGACCAGGAAAACTTATATGTCTTTATTTAAATTGCTCTAAGTTTAGTTTGTTGGTAAAAGTAAAAATTACAAACAAATAGCTACTTATATTTTTACTTTCAGGGAAAGGTTGGAGGTAAAAAAGCTTCAACGGTAAATGACAAGCAAGAGAGAGTGTTAAAAAGACAGAATTCTAACCTTGAAAATCAAGAAGTAAGACTTGTGGACATTTAACGTACCTTATTCATTATTTTTGTTCAATGAATTCGTTTTCCCGAAGTTTGCGGTAACTTCCTGTCCTTAATGTTTTAAGCCTTTGACGAAAAAAGTGAAACGAAAAGAATATGCGCAAGAAGGAAAAAAGAAAGGTACATCACATTATGTTTTTCTGGTTCACACTGGTTTTGGTACATTTTATTTCGTTTACATCTAACCATGTTGACCCTGGTCTTTATAAGTTTCATCCCCACAGTCCATACGTAGCTGGGTTGACCCTGGTCTTTATAAGTTTCATCCCCACAGTCCATACGTAGCTGGGTTGACCCCTGTCTTTATAAGTTTCATCCCCACAGTCCATACGTAGCTGGGATGACCCTGGTCTTTATAAGTTTCATTCCCACAGTCCATACGTAGCTGGGTTGACCCTGGTCTTTATAAGTTTCATCCCCACAGTCCATACGTAGCTGGGTTTACCCTGGTCTTTATAAGTTTCATCCCCACAGTCCATACGTAGCTGGGATGACCCTGGTCTTTATAAGTTTCATCCCCACAGTCCATACGTAGCTGGGATGACCCTGGTCTTTATAAGTTTCATCCCCACAGTCCATACGTAGCTGGGTTGACCTTGGTCTTTATAAGTTTCATCCCCACAGTCCATACGTAGCTGGGATGAACTTGGTCTTTATAAGTTTCATCCCCACAGTCCATACGTAGCTGGGTTGACCCTGGTCTTTATAAGTTTCATCCCCACAGTCCATACGTAGCTGGGTTTACCCTGGTCTTTATAAGTTTCATCCCCACAGTCCATACGTAGCTGGGTTGACCTTGGTCTTTATAAGTTTCATCCCCACAGTCCATACGTAGCTAGGTTGACCCTGGTCTTTATAAGTTTCATCCCCACAGTCCATACGTAGCTGGGTTGACCCTGGTCTTTATAAGTTTCATCCCCACAGTCCATACGTAGCTGGGTTTACCCTGGTCTTTATAAGTTTCATCCCCACAGTCCATACGTAGCTGGGTTTACCCTAGTGTTAGTGCACCTCATTCTTATCTCCGATAATCTGGTTTGTTATAAAATTTAAACACCAAACAAACTTTGAAGGACGTACGTAAAACACAATTAATCGTAGAGTACAAATAGTTCTACAAACACATGTTAGTGACTAGAAGAGCCTTACTCGAAGAAACATATCATAAAGTAAATGGTTTGAACCCGGGAGTATCGTTACATGTTTGTAAATGTAGATCGTCCTGGTTGGTATAGTCCTGAAAAAGTCTGTTTTTGTTGTTGTTGACTGACGTTTCGACAACCTTAGCGGTAGTCATCTTCAGAGTCAAAAAAAATGGTTTTCGCTAAGGTTGTCGAAACGTCAGTCAAGAACAACAAAAACAGTCCTTCTCAGGACCATACCAACCTGGACGATCTACATTTACAAACATGAAACACATCATATTGCGAAAAGAATAACCTTGGTCTTTCCACTTTTCATTCCCAATTGCTTAAAACCTCGGCGTTATACTTATACATTTCCTCCTCTGGTCTATGTGTACATGTATGCTTTATTTATTATAACTTATTTTGCTCGTTTTTGTTACAGCTGTTGCCCCAAAGCGTGCTCCATGGGATTATAAAGGTCGTATGGAGGATATGGAGCAGTATCTGGGTACATTAAAAAGTACACAGCAAGAAAGCATTCAAAGGATTGAGATGTTGGAGTCACAGAAACACCAACTTCAGGGAAACGTTGTGATGAAAGAGAAGGAAATGGAAGAAGTATGTATTTTGAATGATTTTGGTTTTTTGAAATTCATAATTGCTTTTCTCTGTTAGGAACTTACGACGAAACATTGAAACATTACATTGGTGTGGTCGACCTGTAAATCTGGTCGTGTTATTCAAATTTTTTAGTGTTTAATAACTGTTAAAACATTTTCTTTAAACATGATTGATGATAGTGCTCTAAAATTTACATACCTGAAGTTATACTTGCGGGCTTACTACGCTAATGAAACATTTAAGTGACTAAAGCCTGTTTTCCACTAGCCACGTATCGTAACGTATCGTAGCAAAACGTAACATGGCGCATGCGTGCTTATGAATTTGATGGTGAATAGGCGCGAGCACGCATGCGCCGTGTTACGTTTTGCTACGATACCTTACGATACGTAGCTAGTGGAAAACAGCCATAAGTCAGGTTTTTTTTATTGCCGATCTGATTTTATGACTTACCCATGGATTAGAAATGCTGCCTAAAAACATTCGTCTTTGCCAACTTTTTTGCCTTAGTATTTCTTACGGAACTGTGAAGTTTCCTTCGATGGAGATGCATGAATATAAGCTGTACGTTTATGTCGGCGGATTGTTAAGCTTTTCCGTGTCTGTTTTTTGATAAATTTAATTCAAAGTGATCTGAACCCACTGGATTAACGATGTTAAAACGATATTTTCACGATATTTAAAAACGGTATTTAAAAACTATATTTAAAAACGATATTTAAAAACGATATTTAAAAACGATACTTTCACTTCATTGAGTGCTTGCTTTGAAAAAAAAAATAGCGAAATTCTCATGAAGAAATCAGTTTGCTGTTCATTTTAAGTAGCGCGATTTCTTTGTCGCACTCCTAAAGTACGTATGAGAATTAGGGAACATTTAGAGTCTGTTGGGTCTTACTCATTTAAATGGTTTTTTTTACATATGTAGTGGACTTTTTTTAGTAGTGAATATTTTTGTGTTAAATATATTTTGTGTCCTCGTTGACAAAGCTTTTTCTTCAGGCTACAGCATTGAGTAAGAAATTACAAAAGCGACTGAATGAAAAGACAGAAGTTGAGGAAGAGTTAAGAGGCGAAATCGAGAGGGTGTCGTCGGAAAAAGATTTGATTGATCGCGAAAGAGAAGAGTTTAAGTTTGAACTGGAACTATCGCAAAATGAAGTGAAAACTTTAAAATTGAAGATGTCGACGTTGTCATCCGAACTGCTTGGTGTAAACACTGAGTTAGATGCTAGTAAGGTACGTATGTCGTGCAAAAACTGCCAATCTTCATATATATATATATTCCTACGCATATTAGTAAAAGTAATTTTTTTTAAACGACAAAAAACAGATCGTAATAAAGTAAATGGTTTGAACCGTAAATGTAAATGTTTGAAAAGTAAATGGTTTGAACACGACAAAAAAACAGATCATCGTAAATCATAATCAAACTCGCCTCGTTTGTTTATTGTATTTTATCGTGTAAAAATTCCCCGTGTCATACGGCGTGTGTATCTTTAGAGACATAATATGTTTATGCGTGTATTGCTGTGCAGGCAGCCGCACAAATATTTTATCCCTAATTATGTATTGTGTTGACAATTTAAGGATGCTTACAAAAAAGCAAAAATGGAAAACGATCGTCAGGCAAGTGTTATTTTACAATTGGAAAGTAAGATACGCGAACATCAAGATGGTATTTCTGAACTGGAGGCGAGACTTCGAGGTGAGGAGACACTACGACGTCAGCTTCATAATAAAGTACAAGAGTTGAAGGGTAACATTCGCGTCTATTGTCGTGTTCGGCCAAGTCTGCCTTCAGAAACTAGTGTTTCGCTTACTAATATGGAGTTCACTAATGACACTGATATTATTCTACACAATAACAGCAAGGTATGTGTTTATTTATGTAGACGTTTCAATCTTTTATTGGGAACATTACGCTGTTGTCAAAAATACTTACACGCACATAAACTTGCCAACGTTGTCTGGTGAAGTTTGAAGGCTTTATTGATTCAAATGTTTTGCGAACTTTCCTGTTTAGTCAAGTACTTCATCTAACAAAAGCCAACAAGCCAGAATGTCATTTTCATTTGACAAAGCATTTTGTCCAGAAACGACTCAAGCAACAGTCTATCAAGAAATATCACAGCTAGTTCAAAGTGTGCTTGATGGATACAATGTTTGCATCTTTGCGTATGGTCAGACTGGATCAGGTAAAACATTTACAATGGAAGGTGATATCAATGGTCGAGAAACGTGGGGTATGATACCACGTGCTATGGAACAAGTCTTCTTTAGCGCTGAGGAGCTCACGAGTAAAGGTTGGAAGGTAATAAATGTCAATTTTGGACACAAAGAGTATATTATTAGTGACGAGAGTTGACATTACAGAAAGATACATGTAGCTCACGAGTAAATTTATGCAGGTGATGTCAATTTTGGACACATAAAAGGTATTATTAGTGACGAGAGTTGACATTACAGAAAGGTACATGTAGCTCACGAGTAAAGGTTGGCAGGTAATATCAATTTTGGACACATAAAATATATTATTATTGACGAGAGTTGACATTTTAGAAAGATACCTGTAGCTCACGAGTAAAGGTTGGCAGGTAATGTCAATTTTGGACACATAAAATGTATTATTAGTGACGAGAGTTGACATTTCAGAAAGATACATGTAGTTCACGAGTAAAGGTTGGCTGGTAATGTCAATTTTGGACACATAAAATATATTATTTGTGACGAGAGTTGACATTTCAGAAAGATACATGTAGTTCACGAGTAAAGGTTGGCAGGTAATGTCAATTTTGGACACATAAAATATATTATTTGTGACGAGAGTTGACATTTCAGAAAGATACATGTAGCTCACGAGTAAAGGTTGGCAGGTAATTCCAATTTTAGACACATAAAATATATTATTAGTGACGAGAGTTGACATTTCAGAAAGATACATGTAGTTCACGAGTAAAGGTTGGCAGGTAATTCCAATTTTAGACACATAAAATATATTATTAGTGACGAGAGTTGACATTTCAGAAAGATACATGTAGTTCACGAGTAAAGGTTGGCAGGTAATGTCAATTTTGGACACATAAAATATATTATTTGTGACGAGAGTTGACATTTCAGAAAGATACATGTAGTTCACGAGTAAAGGTTGGCAGGTAATGTCAATTTTGGACACATAAAATATATTATTTGTGACGAGAGTTGACATTTCAGAAAGATACATGTAGCTCACGAGTAAATTTTGGCAGGTAATGCCAATTTTGGACATATAAAGTATATTATTAATTGCGAGGGTTGAGATTTTAGGTATTTGCAGTCACACGATCATTGAAAGCATAATCTTATGAAAATGTTTTTAAGAAGCATAAGGTA